TATATATACACACACACATATATATATATATATATATATATATATAAAAGAATTGGAGTGCAGGCCAGAGGTGGGAGGGGTGAGAGAATTCACGAGAAACAGAGTTGGGAACAGAACAGGCAGATCCTCTGAAATACACTGCTGAGGGGAGGAGTGGGTGAGACAGTTTTCTGCTGTGCCATATGGATCGAACACCTTCCTGGTGGGAATCAAACTCATGCTCCAGTGCTGTGGATTGCTTCACAGTGCTGTGCTTTAGCCCATTGTGCCACCAGGGAGAGCATCCTTTGCCCATATCTTAAATGTGAATGATTTCTAGGGTCCTGTTCTCATTCTTCACACGCTTTCTAAGCAGCTCCACACCTTACTCCCATACCATCTATGAAATGATGTCCCTCAAGTACACTAACATCTCCAGGTCTGCTCACTCATGATACCTATATCTCCACAAATTGCGGTAAGTCTTCTCAAATATCTTTGACTTAATATATCTTTCTACTTTCCCCAGCTTGATCCTGACCATTAGCTCTTTCCTGAATAATGAGAGCAGCCATCTAACTTATCCCTCTACATATAGCTCTGCTTGTATCTAATCCATCATCCTTCAAACCATAAGCAGAGTAAGTTTCTGAGGTTTAAATATAGCTGTAGAACTTCTTTTGAGTTTGAATACTTCAATGCCTTCTTAGTTTCATCCTTAAAATCACAAGCAGAGTAAGTTTCTGAGGTTTAAATATAGCTGTAGAACTTCCTTTGCGTTTGAATACTTCAATGCCTTCCTATTTTCTATGGGAATACTACTGAAGTTATAAATGTGGCATCTAAGATCTTGATGATCTGACCTTCCCTTACTTTTCCAATTTATTCCTCATTACCCACTAGCTTTCTTCATCTGCAACTTTCTGTGTTACAACCACTCAACTTTTACAGTTCCTTAATTAAAGCTTCCCTCTGTAACTTCGCTTGAGTTGCCTCCCTACCTTCCTTCTCTAACACCTGTTCACTCTTCAGGTTATAGCTTAGAATGAGTCCTGACCCTGAAAGTTGGTTATGCATCCTTGCTATATTCCAGTTTCACTAACTACCCCACACTGTACAGTAATTGCCTATGTGCCAGTCTAAGGTCTATGAAGCAGGTCAGGTATTCACCCCCTTGAAACAGAGTAGACAGTGAACAAATACATGAACCGCTGAGACAATCAATGAAAGTCTCTTCTTAGGAAAACGCATTGTGAATTCCATGCATAATAAGACATGGCTTTTTTTCAAACAGCATGAGCTTCACTTTGAACCAAAGCCATCATTCTTACTATAACACAACTGGTAAGCTTTTCAAACAATTGTGTCAACTTTGAAAAAAAAAAAAAGCTATTGGTTGACTTTGTTGTCCTAGGCATCTAAAGATCAAATATTTAAGGGAAGAAAAAAAGATGCATTTACCAGCAAACACAGTAGCTGCTATGTATAAGTAGACAATATTACTATTCGGGTGAGACATTGGACTCTGCCGTGAAGAGGATGTCCCATGAATGTCAGAAAAACAATTATAATGGTAAGTTCCAGGACTAATATAGCAATGAAATGAAGTCATTGTTCATCTACTTAGAGAGGTTTGATGAGGTCACCAGACTCTGGATCAAATCTAGGTCCCTCACTGGGTCCGCTTTCTATTTGCTTCCAAGCAAGGTAACAAAGTCAGAGAATTGCCTCCATAGAGACATCCTTGTGAAATGAACATTTTGTTTATTCTGGGAGGGGAAATAAAAGGTCCTAGGAAGAGTGGTGATATATATACGAATGTATTGGTTCAAACAACAAACCCAAAATGATAGGTATTGACAATTTCATGTACTACAACTTAATGTTTATTAGATTATTAAGCATCAAAGATATGATGGGATGTAGGGGAGGACAGTATCTGTGCGAGGACACAGCAGTCTGAGGGGATCATGCACCTGGCCATTCACCGCCCCGTCTACCCACCCCCACAGTGGCATTACCTGCTATACCTGGTCCTTCTCTCAGTCTTTCATCCTAAATCTACATTCTCAGGGGCTAAAACTAGGAGTCTAAGTTCTAGTGGACTCTAAGGAGAAGAAGGTAGTAATCAAGCAATGCCAGTGTCCCAGAGAAGAACAACCAGGTTGTTGAGGAAAAAAGAGACTGAAAGGAAGAAAAGGATAAGAAAAAACAAAGAGGGCGTGTTTAGAGTAAGGGGACTCCAAGATCAGAAAAAATAATAAGATAATTATGTCCTTCTCCAGTTTTAGGATTTTATTCTTTAAACTGAGACAGGGAGGGAGATGATGGACTAGTCTTTAGGGAACCAGGGCTCATGCTGTTTGGACAGAGGCCAGAATGAGCTACGTCTCCAGAGGGTAGTGTGCCAGGAGGCTTGAGATGCCCAGTCTTGGTCATCTCGCCTAGTTTAGTTCCTTGTACAAGTCGACTCAGCTTCATAGACTTCATTGTTTTCTTCAGTTTTACATCTTAAAAGCCATGTGCTGGACATTTGTTAATTTTTTTGTGGGTTACATCAGCCTAGTACAACGGCACCTCCAAGTAAATATCTTAAATGAAACCACTGGATTCTGAGCCTGACCTACCTTGATGCCAGGATCTGTGAGGCTTTTATATCTGCCACGACATGTAGGAAATAGTAGCTCATGAAAACTCTTCTCTGTAGCAGGAGGAAGGCGAAACATATGCTGTCCCAAATAATTCCTGCTTCACCACTAGGTAGTTTACATGAACCATCAGTAATAGCTGAAGGAAGAAAATAGAAAAAGAAAAAAAAACAATTGTTTTCAATGTTAATGTTATTTTATAAAATCTGTGATATGATCAGACTTGGGAAATGAAAGCAACATTCAGATACACTGACTCACTTAGAGATGGATCTATTTACCAGTAAGGCTGTGGCAAACAATATTGATATCAACATTTATTCATGAAGTTGAACCCAGAGCAAACTCCTATGGTGTACAGTATAGGAGAACTTTTGCCTGGGAGGGCTCCTGAATATGCTTCTCTCTTAGGGAGAAAGGGATCACCCCCTCCGCCCCCCAACAGGCCAGTTGGCCATGGAGAAATATGATTACATGCCCCAGTGCTGGAGAACATGTTCTGTTACAAACCCACAATCATTCTCATTCTGGGGGTGATTACCCAGGGGTAACTGGCAGGGCAGTTAACCTAGTCTGGGCCATTAGAAGAAGTGGAATTAACAGTAGACCTTAGTCCAAGTCAAAACAAATTCCCAGGCACTGCCTCTTTATCCTCATGTAGCCTGTGTGGGAAGCTACAGTGGGGAGCATGCCATGTTCACCCAGGACCCCTGTTCTGGGTACAGAAACAGCAAGTGTGGTGTTGTACTAGGCCTGATGTAAGAGGCAGAGGGGTGTAAGTGGGACACCTGCCAATCAGGTGAGAATCTAACTCCTATTGTTTTCCTGAGTTTGATCTCCTCTGAGCTTCCGGAGAAAAGAAGGACCTGGACGTCAAAATGACTTTGGCAATCCCAGGTTCTAACTAACCGTCAGAGTTTTGAGTGAGTGTCTGTAACTATTCCCAATTATAACTCAAAACAGCTCAAGAAGCTATGGTTGGTCACCAAACACTCAGACCAGCCAAAGTTTGGAAGGTTTCTAGCGGAAATCAAAGGTTCCTGGAGTTGGGGCACTCTGAGTTACGTGCGGTAAACTCACAAGGCAGCAAGGAATAGAACTAAATTTCCCTTATCGCTTTTCTTTGGTTCTTTTGGACCAATTTTTTAATTAGAATACAATTGTGTATCCTTTTCTTATCTTTCCCCTCTCAAATTTGCTTTCCATACTTACGCAACTTATAACCTCTGACTGTGCAGGCCAGGCTGAAAGCTTGGATAAACCAGCAGCTGTTTTGAACCAATTGTTCAATATATCCACATGCTCCTATCTGAAAACAAGATGGCAAAGACATCGTCTCAAACTCTGCATGCAAAAAATGGTTGACATCTTGTGACCCCAACATATCTAAAAATTTATGTTTCAGTGCCAATGACCATGTGAGGTACCACAGACCCTAAAATTTCAGTCACCATAGGGGTAGTGCTTTAATTGCTTCTAGAGAACTATCATTTCCTGGGGGAAATTAAACTCACTGAATAAAGGAAGACTATTTAGTGTGATTTGTGCTGTGCTTAAAGCACTTCTCTTTTTACAGAGAAAATCTTGGATTATTGCAGGAACAAGCTGAAGCAAGGGGCTTTAATTATGGTACAGTATTTTCTCACATCAGACAAATTAAACCTATTCTGTTTGCCAGTGGATCATCACAAGAATAAGCCGCTAGATACTGTTCTTAGAGTAAGAACAGAGAATGTGTCTGAAGCATTTTTGGCCACCTGTCTTGTGAAGGAATCACCTTCGTTGAGTGATATACAATTGTCTCATAACATCTTGGTGGAGGCAAGGTGGGGATAGAGTTGAAAAAACATGACTTGGTGCATATATCAAAGGGGATGGCTGAATTGTATGTATTTCCTGGAAACATGTGAAGTAGGAGAATATAAGTAGGATTTTTTTCCCACAAATTAGAAGTTACCTAGCATGAATGCCCTGGCCCCTCAGAATATGCATTCAAAATTAGTATCTCAGTCTTCTATGACCATCTTCTTGTCCAGATTGTCTGGGCTAGGGGAGTATACCTGTGTGGTCTCCCTTAGCATCTTTGAATATTTCAAGTCTGATGGCCTTGATATAGGGACTCCAGGAACCATATTTCCAATGTATCTAAGTAAGATTATGTTTTGTTTGTTTTCTTAAAATATAATGGTCCCCAACATTAACATGTTGTATTATTATAAGTCTGTCTGTCTTCCTTTTGATAATGTGAGTTCCTTGATGGTAAAACCTGAGTACTTATTAATCTACATATCTTCAAAATATAAAACAGTATCTAACAAAGAACAGATCTGCAATATAGGTTTACAGAATCAATGAATTTATAAAGAGTGAGTAAATGAATGAATCAGTGAGTATACTTTGCAGCCATACCTTTTTGAGGAATAGTTATAGAATTCAATATTTGGCAATGAATCCTGACCATCTGATCTACTTTAGAAGGAAACAAGTTTGGAATGAGTAAACTTTTATGTATAGTGAAATTTATTCCATTGTCTTATTTCAACCTTACTACAACTTTCAATGCTACCACAAATGTAAACAAGTATTGTGGGGTAAAATTGAATAAAAGCCATACATATTGGCAACCAGAAAATTAACATTTCAATGGTGGAATATAGAAAAAAATATTAAAATATTCATGGCTACATAGGCCTCACTTTCTAAGTCTTTAGACAGAGAAATGCATGTGGCATAAAATAAAAACAAAAACCTCAAATGCATTCAGAATAGAATTGCCTGCTGAGCTCATCTTTAAGTAACTAGGAGAGGAGAAGCAGGAAACCATTTTATCATCAGTTTCCTAAAACATAATCAGTTATAGCCTATGAACAAAGGACTAACTTAGGGTAAGCTAGAGAAGCATTAAGTCTTTCAGTTCATGATGGTTGTTTAAGTTACTGAAACAATATAAAAATTAAATGATGTCCTTGTGGCCTAAGAGACTTTATGTAACTTGAATTAATAATAAGCAGTTTGTTATCTACCATGTTGGGGGAAAAGTGTGACAAGAGACATAGAATTTAATAGCACAGATACCAAAGAGAAAGGTGGTTTTTCCCTCAAGCCTCTGGTCTGAAGTGTCCCCTGATCAGAAAACCTTTGTTCAGAAGCAAGTGTGAACCTGCCTTTTCCTACTATATCACCATAGTTCAGGGTGCAGAATACATCTGTGTATCAATAGTTACTCCATTGCATTCCCCATCCCATATGGTGTCATAGGGAGTGATGCTCATTTTATTTAATACATCTACAATTCTTTCTATGTAAGAAAATTGCTTTTAGTCAAGTTTTAGACTGTTTAAGAACTTCAATGACTAATTTGAGTCATGAGTTTCACTTTATAGTTCATTGTATAAGTGATGCCAAATTATTCCTGAGAAAGGCTGGGATTTTAATTAATGGCACATATTTTATAATTTATTCCTACAATATATACCTTGAGATTGAGGAAATGGGCAAACAGGATTCTGCCAAGTACAATGAAACACGGAATGTAAATGGTCATTTGAATTCTGAATTTGCAGTTCTCACTTGGGGCTTTTTTTTTTTTTTAAAGATTTATTTATTTATGCATATGGAACTGGGGTACAGGCCAGAAGTGCAGGGGTGTGAGAAGATTCACCAGAAACAGAGTGGGGAGCAGAACAGGCCGACTACTAAGTATACTGTTGAGGGGAGCAGTGGGCTGGTCAGGAGAGGTCTGCCACGCCATGTGGGTCACCTCCCAGGGTGGGGACTGAACTCATGCTGAAGTGGCTTAAGCTTCTTAGTGCAGTGCTTTAACCCACTGCGCCACCAGGGAGGGCCCCATCCTGGGTTCTTAAAAGGGCATTGCCTATCATACTGCTCTCTTAAAAGCCCCAAGTAAGAGAGCCCTCCCTGGTGGCACTGCAGGTTAAAGCACTGCACTAAGAAACTTAAGCCACTTCCGCATGAGTTTGATCCCCGCCTGCCCCGGAGGTGATCCGCATGGCGTGGCAGACCTCTCCTGACCTGCCCGCTGCTCCCCTCAGCAGTGTACTTCGTCAGCCTGCCTGTTCTGCTCCCCACTCTGTACCTGGTGAATCCTCTTACCCTCTGCATCTCTGGCCTGTATCCCAGCTCTGTATGAATAAATAAATAAATCTTAAAAAAAAAAAAAAACCAAAAAACCCAGAATGGGTTTTTACTCTCATACCCAGACCACAAGTATATTATACCGTGGGAGCTACTTACTGACAGTAAGTTTTTCATAGTGATCACAAACACATTGTATGCAATAAGCCAGTCCCAGTAGCGCAAGATGCTCCTAATGGGTTTCAACAGCAAATCACCCCCAAAGAGCAGGAAATAGAAGCAGGCCACCAAGTAGCCCATGCAGAAGATGCTGATTCTGGTTGTCCCAGTGATGAAGATGATGGTGAGGACGAACCAGAAGAGGTAGCTGAAGATGATCACTTTGGACATGTCTAAGTAAGATCTGGAAAACAAGAATGAATCAATATAAGACAACACAAAGAAAATTCTACCTTAACATGGGAAGAAGTGGTACTCGTTTCATTTTATGTGACAGCACTTTACAAGATATACTGTGAGGCCTGTGTTTATCTCTTATCTAACAATGATTGTAAGAAATCTTTACTTAACCAGGACTTAAGAGGCAAATTGTGAATGTCTATGTCTATCACCTCACTTAGATAGAACATCAATGTCTATGTTTACAATGTGCATGTTTATCACCTCTTTTGGGCCAAATTTCCCATAAAAAGCAACATTTTCTGTCTATGGTGGAGCACACAAAAGTTCTCTCTGTCTTCCTATTGGAGGAACAAAAAATTATGACAAAGAAAGCTGTAAGTTAAAGATGCCTGGGAGCCAGTAAGAATGAATTCTCTTCAAAGAGCTTGAAGTTAATAGATTGAAACAAAATGTAGATGTTACACAAATATTTTACTGGTGGTGAAAATCTCTCCTTGCAGATGAGATATGAGTCTGACAAAAAGCAGTTAGCGCCTCAGTGGGGATTTAGGCTTCTTCTTGAAACTCGGTTTCTGAGCTGCATCAAGTCCTTTTGACGCTATTTCTCCCCTCGGCCTTCCTGATGGAGGGAGAGATGGCTTGTTGAGGTCTTCATCATCTAGTCTGTAACAAACTACAGCTGCTGGGACTTTCCTACTCACTGACACCTATTAGTGGTATCAGTGTGCCATATCCAATTCTTACTTGCTTAATTAGAGTTTCTTTGTCTTGGAGTTCTTGGTCTTTTTCCTTCTCAGGTTTAAGAAGAAGCAATTTTGGGTCAGTTATTGGATTAATGAATCAATATTTTGTACAAACTGATAAGTAATTTCTTGATACATACCTGGGCAATCCAGCATTACTTGGGAATGAATTGGGTCTTAAAGGTACATTGTCAGGGGGGAAATGGTGAATCAGTAAAAATGCCTCATTTCTTTTTTTTTTTTTTTTCAAATCTAAAACATATCACACTTTTCAGAAGAGAACAAATAAAATTTCAGAGTTGCTTAGTTTCCTGGACTCATCACCGGTAAAATTAGTGACGCAGTCGAGCAGCAATATCAGAATGACCATAGGGCCTCAGGGTGTGTGTGTGTATGTGAGCATGTGTTATCTGAAGCTAGTGGAATTGGGTTGCTGATCTGTGTGTATGTGTATATGTGTGTGTGTGTGTATGTGTGTGTGAGAGAGACAGAGCAATGTGTTCTCTTCCTCAGTCCCCTTTCTTTCCTGCAATTGCTCATTCTACTCAAGAGACCCACTTTCCACTCAGCACATAATTTGCTTCTTGACTGGCTTCAGTTTCAGAAATCATAAGGCTGAGCTTGTGAGAATATCACAGAAAATATTAGTCAACATGGCTGATGAGGAACCTGAGGGCCCCCTGTCATGCTGTATCCAGGGTTCAGAGACCACTGAAGTGTTTTGTATCATGTTCCACTGCTTCACCATGCTGCTGAGTTATTGGGAGTTACAGAGCAGGGTGTGGGGAGGAGCTGAACCAGCACCCACCTGATAGTTACCAGTTTTGTGTGGACAATCAACTGTCAGATTCTCAGAAATGGTGAAAAAGACTTGTAAGGAAAGGTCTATTCTTTTGCTAAGTGAACCACACACACCAAATGAGCCGAGACACGGTACCACTGTCATTACCTGCAGTGAATGAAATCTGGCACAGGGTTATGTTGGCTGAAGGAAGCCGCATCAAGGTTCATGCAAATCTCCACGTTGTCCCCGGCCATGATCCGCACTGCAGCCTTGTTTTCATCCTCAAAAATCTGCCTTTGTAAGGAGGCACACAGAAGCAGCAAGAAGTCATCTGGCAAGACAGACATAAGCTCATTCAACTACTTACTCTTCCTTTTGGTTTATGTTATGTAAGATGGAGTTCCCACAGTGTACAAGTTGTTCCCCAACTCTTCCCAGAGTTGTATTTCCAAGGTTCCATACTCCAGTTCTTCCTGGGGTCCAATGTGGGAACCCAGTACCATCTTCCCCACTATGGGGGATGCTTGGGGACTGCTGACATTCCAGGGCCCAAGCTAGGGAGTCCTGGATTTTGTCTGCCCTTGAGTGAGTGCGGATGGGGTGCCAATGACTAGTCTTTCTGACTTAGGTGATTTATTTGCATTTATCTCTGACTAGAGTTTTTTTTTGTTGTTGTTGTTTCCTATTTTATATATTTTTAATAATATGTTTATTTTTATATCATTTTGTGCATTTTTCCATCTCAGTTGTAATCCCCTTGGGCTTCCCATCACCAAGTCACCTGTGTGCCATCACCATAGTCCAATGCATTTCCTTCCCTCCCACCGTTTTTGATCCCATTCCCCACTTCACCACCATAAATATCTCTGGTATATAGCTGTCCATTATTATTATTATTTTCTTGCCTGGTCCATTATATTCCTGCTATGAGTGAAACCACCTGGTGTTTTTCCTTTTCTTTCTGGCTTATTTCATTAAGCATGATATTTTCCAGCTCCATCCATGTTGCTACAAAAGGCATGTGTTTATTTTTTTTTGGTTGCTGAGTAATATTCCATTGTGTATATGTACCACATCTTTTTAATCAAGTCATCTACTTTTGGACATTTGCACTGTTTCCATGTTTTTTCCAATTGTAAATAAAGCAGCAATAAATATGGGGGTGCAAGTGTCTTTTTGAATCAGTGTTTTTGTGTCTTTTGGGTAGATACCTAGGAGTGGGATTGATGGGTCATATGGAAGCTCCATGTTTAGGAGTTTGAGGAATCTCCAAACAGTTTCCTATAGTGGTTGTACTAGTTTGCATTCCCACCAGCAGTGCAGGAGAGTTCTGACTGACTAGAGTATGTTTAATAGACTTTATATGTAGAGTCATTTTAGGTTCAGTGGAAAATTGAGCCAAAAGGATACAAAATCTCCACACTCTACGACTCCCACACATGTTCAGCTTCCCTATGATCAAAATACTACACTAGTGTGCTACATTTGTTATCATTAATGAAATTACATTAGCATGCAAATTCCACATCTACTTAAGTTTACTCTTGGTATTTGACATCTTGTGGGTTTGGCAAATGCATTACGACATATACCACCATTACAGCATCATACAATCATATGGTCATATAGTTTCACTGCTCTAAAATTACTCTGTATTCTATCCATCAGAGTTTGAAGAACTCATCTACCTTTACATTTGTAACCAAAGACTTCAGATCATACCACACAGCAATGACATGAAGAGGATGGGTGAATTACTGGGAGTAGGGGAGGAGATTGCTGGAGCTGTGTTTGTGGTTGGCTGCCCAGAACAGGTCCTCACACCAAGCTGGGTTTCTCTGCTTTGACATGAATGTGCTTCTGCATGAAGTCACTCTGGTTTTCCATGGCATCCAGCAAGCCCTATCGACTTAGGTGGGACAGCTCCAACTACTGGATCATCAGCCTGCTCCTGAGGGCAAAGGACCACTCTTCTGTTCAGGACCATCTGCAGTGAGGGTAGCATCTTCTTTGCTAACACAGTTGTGTCTTTGGTACACAGGGTTGATCTGCGGTAGTAGCCAGAAGCAACCTCCAAGATGCATGTATAGAGGTGTTTGCATGGTGGGGGGAGGGGGAGGGTGGGGACTGTGTGGATAGTGGGTATATGTATTGAAAGGAGAAATTATGGTAGCATTTCCAAATGTCTACTAATTTTGCAAATGTCATAGGGCAAGTAGAACCCCTTCATGATAAGTTATATGAATGCAATGAGACAAGCCTTTACATGATCCTAAAGTTCAATGGAAACAGCATAGGCACTAATACACATAGCAAAGACAGATAAGCAGATATAAAACCACACAGTGCTCTGTGGTCTCATGGCTGCAACACTTACAGACGAGAAACACGGGATTGGGTCGCACGATGAAGTCTGGGAAGTACAGCCACTTGATGATGTTGTCGTTGAAGTTGGCATTCTTGAATCTCCATGGATAGTCTGCAGCGTGGGAAGTGACAAAGCATAATATCAGCAAGCTTTTTTCCTGCCTTTTGCCCTGGTGCAGCCTGTAAGAGCTGCCTGTAAGAATAACACTCACCTTTGCAAGGGGCAGGAGGAATACCTATGCACACAAAGTACTGGAAGGTGAGGATGCATGCCAGGAAGCAGCAGTACTTGGGCCAAACCTCTGCGATGGCCTTTCTTCGGCGTCGATACAAGACAGCGATTAGCCAGCAGGCGTGGATCATGGCGTAGAAGTCCATCCGCTGACCAATTACATTAATGGACATGAGGAAACAGGTCTGTGTAAAGATGAAAAAGGCAACACATCAGATTTACAGGGAAGGGGAACAGAGTCACTGTCAGTCTAGTGGAGGCTGAAGAGCCCTACCTTCCTGGTGTGTTCTGTCCTGGAGACTTTTAGCATGAAGTCAGAAACATCATGCAAATTACATGCTAGGGAAAAAATGACTATATAACATTTATCAGAACCACTTCACACGGGGCTACAGCTATGAACTCTTCATTGAACATCACTGTTTCAAATCTTTTTTTATTAAGGGACAGGTAGTATAACATTATTTCAGGTCAAAACAATTCCCTCTGGTTAGAGGTTACACTAGCAGAATACACAACATAGGAAGGAGATTTGTAAAAAGTTTATTCTTATTAAGAAGTCAAATAAGATGAAAAATGACATCGATCATGAAAAATGACGTCCTGCATCGTAATGGAAACAGGCAATGAAGCTTTAGCTGGCCAAGAGAAGCCTTTGGAATTTTCATGGAAAATAGAAAGAAAACCTATCACAATGAAACTTACCTCCAGACCAAACTTGTAGAAGAAGTAATTGATGAAGTATTTGGCACAATTAAGAATTCCATCATCTAGATGGAGTCTTGTAATGTCATGAAAGATGGTTTTTGACACAGGGGCTGTGAGGCTGTTTCGCCCTCTATAGTACTCTTGATGGCGGTAAATCGTGACCTCAAAGGCCAGAATGGCCAGCATCAAGAGATTGTTCTACAAAGGAAAGGAGAAAATATATAAAACAATGTGTGAAGCCAACTGCTTTATGAGGTGGATGACTATTATAAATCATCTTATTTCATTCTTGATGTCTCAAAGGGCAACACTTTGTAAAATTCCCACTTCTTTAAAATAGTCTTGAGTTCAACATTCTTTCCCCCTGTTTTATGGTAGAATAATGGTGTTATCTCCATTATGCAAATGAGGCTGATTTCTAAGCTAACTCTCTAGAGGAAAGACCTGGGAAGCCACTCCTGTTTCTGAAAAGACACACAGCCCAGACCAGCCACCGATAGTATTGGAGGGTATCCAATCTTATTCGCAACTTGAAGCCCCAAACACTTCTGTGCCCTAGAACATTCTGGGGAACAGACTCAGCTGGAGAAATGGGATATGAGTTAGAGGGGAAATTTTTGAACACTTCTGAAATCCAATTGGAGAGAGCAGTAGATGGAGAAGCATGATAATTACAATAAAAAACTGATAATAAGATAGTTAACATTTATGGGACTATATGTGCCAGACACTATTCTAGTGATGCTTTTCAAATATCACTTTATTTTATCTATATAGTAGCTCCTGTCATTTGCAGCACTGTATCTGTCACATTAGCCAAAGAAAAATGGTACAGTACTTTAAAGTGGTATATTTAAAAATTATAGGCATTGAGTACAAGTGCTTTATTTTAAAGTGTATTATATCATGTATTATTAAGACTACTTATACCATCCACTAAAGTAAAATGTGAGGAATTTGAATTATATTGCTTTCATTATCTTTGTTACAACTATATGCAACCAAGTTTCTTTTTTCAGTGCCATGCTTTTTATACGGTTACCTCTAAGTGGAATACATGCTGTTAATTAAGATTTATAGAGAAACAGATTTTAGACTATAAAACTTTCTTATAATTTCATATTTACTTCTTAGACATAATGACTACTATTTTATATATTTAAGATTTATTGTAATCTAAAAGAGAACATACTATGCATGTATTTTGAAATTTGCTTTTTTTGAAACTTCACAATATATTTTGGACATCTTTAATGTCTGACTTCAGTCTCAGGTTTTTTAATGGTTCTAGATTCTATTCAACTTTGTCATACTTTATTCAACTCATCCCCAACTACTTTAAGTTATTCTCAGTCTAACACAACACTGATTTTAATATTTAGTCATTTGTTTTTGTAGGTGACCCCAAACACCATGTAGAAGATGAGGTGAATATGACAAGTGGTATAGGCTTCTCAAGTGTAAGAATCCAGACACCAGAAGCAGAGACACAAGCGAGGCACAATGAAGGCCTTACCCTCAGGTAGACTAGCAGAGGGGATGACTTCCTCAGGCCGACCCACTCCGCTGGATCAATAGGAGCACTGTAGAGTAGAGACTTGTTCAACTGTTGGAGGGGTATACTCGTTTGATTTTCATTTGGCTGAAAAGAAAAGGGAGTAAAGATGGAGTTACAGATCAGGAGGTTCATATTACTCCTGCAGCTTGAAGCAGAGGGCTTAAGGGGGAAGGGAAAGAGCGATCAAAAGAGCGATCAATTTCACGGGGGACATCAGTGCCAGAAGAGATGTGGGCTGAGACTAGCTCTCACCACACTGGCTGAGGCTATTTCCTTCCTGGCTGAGAGAATTAAAGGCCAGACAGGACCGGACAGATGTGCCTAAGATGTAGGACCCCAGATCTGCTTCCCTTCCCTTCAGGCCAGTCAAGAAGTTTCCCCCCTCTTAGAGGCTCACCAAGCGACATTTAACAGAAAAGTTCTCAGGCTTAATGGTTTGCAGCTGGTACAACATTTTGCAGACGATGATCACACAAGTCCAGACAGTGCAGACACTGGAAGCCAGACGGCGTAGCTTGGCATATGGCAAAGCGAAAGCCCAAGAAATCAAAAATACATAGTTGAACAGGGACACCTGAAAACAAGATAAAAATGGGGACAAACGTTTTTAACATGGCACCACATCCATAACACATGACAACTTGATTGATTCAGATCAATTTGGGTCAGGAAAAGTTGATTGTGACTTGCACATGTGAGGCATTGCCCTGGGGAGGTGGGCACTCAGGTGTATGTCTTAGATGGCAGATGTCAATAAACATGCCCTGCAACAAACTGCAGATGTGAACAGGCTTCTCCAAGAAGTCTGAGGGGTCCTTGGCTCATTCTAGGGCTTTGGGAAAAGTTTCCTGGACGAGATGATACTGGAATTGAGCCCTGAAGAGGCACAAAGTTAGCCAAAATGAGATAAGCAATGAGTAGAGGTAGAGGACGTGCTAAGTCCAAGGGATGTCCAAAGGCAAAAAGGTGAAGTAGCAGGTGAAGAGCAAGCACACAGACAACTAACACACCTGGAGTTAAAAACTGAGCTGTAGCAGGAAGTCAGAATAGCGGTGCACATCTGGGAGCCACAGTTTTTGCATATTTATTTTCTAACGTGTAATTTACCATTCAACCAAACAGTGACTACCAGAGGAGACGTTGAGGTGGGTGGGAGGAAAGGGTAGAGGTCATTTTGATAGTGGTGAATAGCAGTAGGATTTTGGGGGCGCATGCAGGGCGGTACATACGTTTACTGAGTTACAGGATTATACTCATGAAATTTGTGCAGTTTTGTAAACCAGTGGGAGCTACATGTTGAAGGAACCTTTTGAAACACAGGAAACTCTTATTGAAAAGTGTCCCCAAGGGGCTCTAGACTGGGAATCTCTTTTTAAATTTATTTAATGACTAAAATTATTGTCATTGTTAATAATGAAGTACCATAGTTTTCCAACCTTGTTAGCTTGGACGGTATAGGGCTTCTCCTTTCAGGTACATGCCCCAGAGGTCTGCCACCAGGAAAGCACCCCAGTCCATCACGACAGTCCAATATGCTCCCCCTTCCTGGACCCCATACTTGCCCCTACTCCTACCTTCCTGAGTGCTTCAGATCAACTTTATTATTAATTAATTTTTTCTTAGCCGTCGTAGTCTGATACTTCTCTCCCACCACATCATGCGTGAACATGCGTGAACCATCACCATATTTCCTTGTGTTCACCCTCCCCTTGATTTGAACTCCCACCCCTTCCTTTGCTGTGTATCTCAGTTTTATGGTCAGCTTGCTAGTTTTGACTTTTTCATGACCTGTGGTTTGGTTTTTCTATATTCCACACATAAGTGAGACCATCTGGTATTTATCTTTTTCCTCCTGACTATTTTCGTCTAGCATCATCTCCCCCAGCTCCGTCCATGTTGTTGCAAATGGCATACCTTTGTCTTTTTTGATCATTGAGTCTTTTTAATCCATTTGTCTATTTTTGGGTATTTGGTTTGTTTCCACATCTAGGCTATTTGTAAATAGTGCTGCAATACACATAGGAGTATAGGTTTCTTTCAAGTTAGAGCCCCTTGGGTAGATTCCTAGGGGTGGAATCGCTGGATTACATAACAGATCCATTTTTAGTGTTCTGAGGCACGTCCACACGGTTTTCCATATTGGTGTCTCAGGTTAATTTTTAGGACAGTTTGCATTGTATTTGGATAAATCCTAACTGAAGAATGGAGAATGTATCTATGGCAGTAGGCCGGAGGGCAGAGACTAGCTCTCAGCACCCTGCAGCAGCCTGGGAGAACAGTAACAAGGATTCAGACTAGGACGGGGGGCAGAGATAGGGAAGAATCATGGATTTGAGATGGGAAGTAAAATTAGAAGGGTCTGATGACAGATTGATTTGGAGTTAGCAGAGAATAAATTGTCCCAGGTTTCTGGTGTGGGAGTCAGAATTGTCAGAGGATAATAGTATCAGTTTTGAGACAGGAAATGCTAAGGGTGAGGGGGAGGATTGAAGAGGAGGGCAGGTGTAAAGAGGGAAAGACAATGATTTCAACTTGGTTTTAGGCTGTTTGAGAGTGTACCAATCAGTTCTACATAGTTAATAGTTCATTGAATCGTATGAAAGTATCACTATCTTATTTGGTCATAAAATATTAATTTATTCTGAATATTGTTGAAATATTTAAATGTTATTGATGAACATGTACTAAGCACCATTCACTACAAGAATGCCATTTGGCTTACACAGTTGACATAAGAAATGTGGAGATTCCAGGGAAGTGTTCAAATCTGCTATTTGCTACTTGCTACTTTTCATTTAACAATATGGTAAGAATTAGTGTTTTCTAAGAATTAAATGTTGAAATAGGCCAGTTGAAATGCAGGGCCTGCTTGGTGGTTTGAAGGTTAAGTCTCAGTGTTATCACCACTTTGGCCTGAGTTTCATCCCCAGCCAGGTTGCTGACCCACAGGGCACAGCAGACATCTCCTGTCTCACCCGCTGATTCTGCCTGCTCTGCTCCCCACTCTGTCTCTGGTGAATCCTCTCACCCTGTGCACCTCCACCCCAGGGTTTCTATGCAAAATAAATTAAAACATTAACATAAAGAACTTCCTCACAGAATTAATTGAGGATGAAAGAAATATTGTCTGTGGCAGTGCCTTCTAAACTATGAACACATAATAAGGGTTATATTTTAACAAAATATTTTAATTAGAAAAGTAACATCTCTTCTTACATCATTGGCAAGTGTCTTGCCATTGGATTTTAAGGAACAAATCCTATTATAGTACTATGATATGTTTATTTCTTCTAGTATGCATTAACGACATTGAGTAAACATGCATTAACGACATTGAGTAAACAATGAGTTTACTTATATCTTTTAATTTATTGAGTGGTAGAGAAAGAGAAGGTAAGGTGATGATATCTTTATTAAGTTCTAACTGGGTTCTTGGAAAATAACCCATGTGAAGTTTTGCTCTTAGGAAATAATAGGGTATTGTGCAAGAGAGAAATCCTCAATAGCTTCAGGCAATATAATCAGGGAAGAAAGAACCCAGTCTGGATTAACCTACTTGCATGGCTAACAGATCACTTAACTCAGATGTAGGGAAGACTGTCCAGAGCACTGTAGTTCTAAATTAATTCCTGTGTGCAATCGGTGGTAGTCAGTCAGAACAATTGTACCTTGCAGGCCTTACAGGCAAGGTAGAGGGTGGGGAAAGACATACATGAGTTACATAAATAAATTGTTCAACATGAAAGAAATGTGACCGTAGTCCATTGACAGGATTATCAAATCCATCAAGCACTAGGACATGTAGGATTGGAAATGATGAAGAGGTCCCAGGCTAGATCCTGAGAGACTTCTATCATGTGAGTGTGAGTATGCAACAGTGCTGTGGAAAGTTTTCAGGTAGAAGATTAAGGTGCTCGTTTATACACTTTGGAAAGGTTATTGTGATTCCATGATGGAATACAGGACTAGAGCAGAGTTGGGAATTTGTTGGTGTCTTATAAAAAGGAATTGATGTGGAAGCTGTGAGTTCAGTTTCAGAGATATTTAGTTGAAGGTAACTTAGGGATATAGAAGCATGGGGGTCATGTCCAGCTATCCCCTAGAAATAGAAGTCAGCAGTACAAAGAGAGCTGAAGATTGAAAATTTGCTGCATGTGGATGGTCACTGAAACTCAGGAACTCCTGATATCACCCATAGGAGTCTAGAATCAGAGAAGGTGTAAGGCAGCTTATACCTGCCTGTATAAGCTCAGGTAACGTTAGGAGAGGAGTGAAGCTCATGTGAAGAGGAGGAACCCATGGTGAAACAGAAAGGACTGGCCAGAGTCATGTGAGGGGACAAGAAAATGTGTGGATATGGAAAGTAAAAGAGGGGAGAGTTTCATGAAGAAGTAGGAAAAGGTCATCCATATCTGCTGTCACTGAAAATCAAATAAAATAAGCACTGAAAAGTCTCTGCATTGAATATATGCTTGGTATTTATTATTCTGTCAAATAGGAATTCGGGCTCAGAGACGTGTGACATTTCATTCAGTGCAAACACATCTGATGATGGTCTCAATTCCCTGATGATAGCAATCTTGTGGAAGGAATGTTAAAATGGAAAAGTACAAATACAAGACATTGGATTCCAATATCTTGTGAATAACAATTTCTAGCAAATAACTAGAAACATTTACTATTAAGGAATCTGGACAAGCAATTTTATGCCCAATGCCTTCCTAACAGTTTTATATACAAATTGACGTTTTATCTTAATGTAAAGTTGCAAGACATAAGGCCCTCACTTGAAAATGTTTTCTAAGAATTGTGTATGGCTAGTCCATGCCTGGCCTCCCTCCCTCATACTTGAACTTCAATGATCACCTCTATGATGTAACCCCCTGTGCACCCAAAGTTTCTTGAGGATACCTCTAACTCAGAAGGTAATGTGACTTTTGCTTATTTTGTCATTGAATCAATACTTGTTTACATCATTATTTGTGTAGTAGAGGTATAAGACCTCTCCTTTCTAATGTTGTTATTGATGGGAAGTATGGATATTTCTCAAAATATTATAGGATGGATCTACCACATGACCTAGCAATTCCACATTTAGCTATCTACTCAAAGAATATAAAAACCACTGTCTCGAAAGGAAACATGGTCTCTCCCATGTTCATTGCAGTGTTGTTCATTTCATCTCTTTATAATAGCCAAGCTATAGAAAAAACCTAAAGGCACCAATATAGAGGCATGGGTCAGGAAGATGTGGCATGTGTATACGATGGAATACTACTCAGCAATCAAAAAGACAAATCCTTGTCATTTCTGGCAATATGAATGGAATTGGAGCCAATTAAACAAACTAAGTTATACAAAAGACAAATATTGGATGGTATTACTTTTCTGTGAAATACAGAGACACCAAACAGTTATCAGGGAAAGTCAAGCTAAAAACAAACTTTACAATGGTGATTCTATATAGAACTGTGTCTACCAGAGTGGGAGGGGAGGGAGGGTGGGAAGACTGAGAACAAATGAGGGTGGGAACACAAAGCATGAGGAGGGTGACTTTTGCTTTTATTTTTCAGCACTAACACCAGGCTGAGCTGTGGCAAGAAGTATGTCTTACATTTTGGCACCTTTTGCGCCAGCATCTAGCTCAGGATAAATATTTAATGTATTGGAATTCAATGTAAGCAAATAATAAAAACTAAATAAATGCTTAGTGAGACTGAAAGTAATAACAATAATGAAATACCAATCTAGGGAAAATCTCAAGGCTGTAAAGTCCTTGTATTTAAGTCCTTCCATCAGGCCCTTACTAGTGGCCAGGTCTTCTTAGAGGAGCGGAGGAACAAATAACTCAGGGAATAAACAACTCCATCTCACAGAGTTCTCTAGGAGACTTTAAAATGAGAAACATGTTTGTGTGTAAAAAAGGAACAGAGAATGTTACATTTTTAAATCTAGTACCATTCAAAGAGTAAGAGATGTTAGTATGCCAGAATGGTTTCTTGTATAAATTCTTTCCCACTGGCCTCTTCCTCTTCAGGAACCCAGGAAGGGAAGTTTGGAAAAGTTTAGTATTTGTGGGAGAAAAAAAAAAAAAAAACCTTGCAGATAATCTGGGGTCAGGATGGCTTAACTTCAAAGCATGTGGTATATCTCTTGAAGATTTAACTGAGAATGTTAACTTTGTTCTTATTTTTCCATTAACTGAGCATCAACTTTTGACAAAGGACATTTTATTCTGTATTAATCAAAATTAACAAGCTGTGAATAAGACACATAGATGTATGTGCTGATGGGCTTCTCTTGCTGCAGAAACCCCTGCAAGTATAAATCAGCACTTCAAAGGTATAGTTTCTTTTGAGAAAGGAAGCAGCAGCTAAAAAAAGGAGTTGCTTCTCCTTGAAAAGAGATCAGAGTTTGATTCTTTTCTACAGTTCGACATTTTTTTTTAAAGATTTATTTATTTATTCATATAGAACTGGGGTACAGGCCAGAGACGCGGAGGGTGAGAGGATTCACCAGAGACGGAGCGGGGAGCAGAACAGGCAGATCAACGAAGTACACTGCTGAGGGGAGAAGCGGGTGGGCCAGGAGAGGTCTGCCACGACATGTGGATCTCCTCCGGGGCAGGCGGGAATCGAACTCATGCGGAAGTGGCTTCAGCTTCTCGGTGCAGTGCTTTAACCCGCTGCGCCACCAGGGAGGGCCCAGTTCGGCATTTTTAATGAATAAAGTGAAGTTTTGCTTATTACTTCAATTAACTTTCCATTATCTAGGAATGATTATATCTTTTGCAATCAGGGAAATGGAGAACATTTCGCCATAGAATACATTTGAAAGGGAGTAGTAGAGAGCTGAAATAAAGCTATTTTTGTGATCACACCTCATATGTTCTGATTGTTCAATTCTGCAGTGGCATCAGTAAGAATCAGAATGGTCCATATTAGAAAAAAACAAACAAAAAAAAGAAACAGCAAATGTTGGTGAGGGTGTGGAGAAAATGTACATTTACACACTGTTAGTGGGAATGTGGACTGGTCCAGTGCTGATGGAAAACAGTGTGGAGGTCCCTCGAAATATTAAAAATAGATCTATTCCTATGAGCCAGCAATTCTATATCTAAGTATCTACCTAAAAGATGAAAAATACTAATGCAAAGGTATAATGCCCTCGTATGTTCATTGCAGCACTATTTATCATAGTCAATCTATGGACACAGTTTTTGGGCCCCCAAATAGATGAGTGGGTCAAGAGGATATGGTACATATATTCACAGTGGAGTGCCACTCAGCTATGAGAGAAAATAAACTCTTGCCATTTGTTAAAATGAGGATGGAACTAGAGGGGGTTATGAAATAAGTTGGATAGAGAAAGGCAAATGGCGGGTGATTTTACTCTTATGTGGAAAATAGAAAAATAAAACAAAGGAAGAGAGAAAAATAATACAAAAACCAATAATAAATCAACCCTTGAGGATTGAGTATCAGGGTTACCATGGCTATGAACTGAATTTGATCCTCGGCCAAGGAGCTGACCCTTGTGGCACAGCAGACCTCTCCTATCTTGCCTGCTTCTCCCCTCAGCAGTGTATTTCAGTAGATTCACCATGTCTGCTCCCTCTCTGTCTCTGGTGAATCCTCTTACCCCCTTACCTCTGGCTTACAACCCAGTTTTTCCATGTTAAAAAAAGAAAAGAAAAATAAACAAAGCCAACCCTCAAAATATTACTACAGATATGAGACTGCTAAAAGGTTGGAACAAAGGGGTGGGGGACCCAATGGACTAGGGTAAAGAGATAGGGGTGTTTTGATAGTGGGGGTAGTGTGGTGACATACCTCTGAGGATGAATAAACCTATTTACCTAAATCATATATAGTACTATAAGGCAAGGTCACTCCATAAAGGAAAACAAAAATGAAAAGAAAAATGAATGAATGAAGTGAAATCAAGACAGGAGTCCAGATCAAGGAAACCTGAGAAGGATAGGGAGGGTCACAAAGACTCAGCTTTGATTATCCATTACCTTCCAGAATATGCTATAATTTCTCATTCACTTATCTGTCTCCATAATTAGAATATAAGGCTTTTCTTGGAAGAACTACACTCCCTAAACTTCGGTTACTATATATAATTGGTGAGAAACAACTAAGTAAATCAATAAAATGTTTCTTTCATTTACTGAAAAATAAATTCCCATGTGGATGGAATGATATAAAGTTAAACTCAGGCTGTGCAAGTGGAGGTTAAACTATCCTCCAGAATAGGATTCTGGCAAAAACTAGGAACAGAAAGACCAGAATTTTCTCTGATTCATAAGTCTCTGATGTGCTTTAAAGTTACAGTTGAGAGAGACAGAATTACTAATGAAAATCCTGGAAATTTCTACAATGTGTAGATCACAGAGAAGGCTATGGGCATATGGCATTCATTATAAGCTGTTCTTCTGATGGTGTAGCCAGTTAACTTTTAATTATTGTGTAGACTTGGTGACTTAGTTATCTTTGACTACAACTCTCAGAGGGAGAATGATTTCTGTGGTATTCCTAGTTGGCAATAGTCACTTCTGGATTCCAGACTGTTTGCATGAAATGGGTGACTGCTCCAGTTTAGAATGGAGAGCTCAAGTTAAGGTTCATCCCTTAGTTAACTTCTGAAATATTGTAGATTTGTAATGTTGTAGATGTAGTGCTGTATTATTATTATTATTTAACTTTATAAAAATTATAAGAAGTATTACCCAAGTTAGTTTTTAGAGGGGAAAGACTATTTGACTTGTTACCAATACAAAAACAGTCCAGTGACCTTAGAAGTGTGTGATAATTATTTGTTGAATAAATTGAAAGAACGCTACTTTTTCTACAGTTATTTTTTTCACATCAAATAATTGTTGGTTGAATTATGACTCTCCCTTTTATCAATAAGAAAATAAAATCATAATTAAAATATTGAAGATAATGTCTTATCTCAAGAAACTCAATAGTAAACAAGGAGAGCCCTACTAAAGATTTTATTAAATTATGGAACTTGAGTTTATTCTGTGGTAACATAATATAAGAAGTTATAGTTTTGCTTAAAGAGAACTCAAGAGATAGTCTCATATATGGAGGAGAAAAGCAGTGTTCTTATACACTGAAAAGACCAGATGATATAAATGGCCTTGGAACTGTGACCAGGCCAGTGAGGAGCTGAGCCAGGAAGAACCTCCTCTCTTGCTCTCTCTCGGTCCTCAGGACAACTGTCCTTTGACTTTCTGCATGCCAGTGTCTATGCCTATCTTAGAGACTTCCTGTTCTAATGTGATAGCAATTACAGTTTTAAAAAGTCATGGATAGCTGAAATAGGAAAATGATGACCTACTATGATTCTATTTTTTTTTTTTTCTGATGATCCAACAGACGTTTACTTGCCTCTTTCATGGAAACCCAGATAATGTATGATGAAACGATTTTGATGATGTGTAACTCTAAAATCCACCACATGAACACCTGCAGATTGTGAAAATACTCCAGGAATTTTAAGAAGAGCACAGTGAGGCGGTCAATCACCAGGTGCCATTTGTTCCTTAAATCTGTAAAATAGTAAATTCACCCAACAGAATAAATAGCATTTCTTGTGACTTTCAGATTGGAACAAGTAGCTGCAAAATAATGTCAGTGGGTAAATTATAAATATACTGAAATCTGGAGGAAGGATGGTCTAGGAATCCAGGTCCATGACTGAGACATCATATACTGGGACTCTGAGTTCAAAGTTTCTTTTCTCTATGTTTTAATTGAAAGTGGCATATAGCCAAATTTTGTTCTCATTGAAGTTTGAGCTATGTAGTTCCCTAATTTCCTGAGAGTAGTACTAAGTAACCTGAGCTCCCTATAAATGACAATTTTCTTACCCAACAATGTTTTCAAAGCACCTGCCTTCCAGGAATGGATAAAACTAGCGTCTGGCTGGGAGGAACAAGCTGAGCAGTGTGTGGCCTCTGACAGGAAGAGACTGTGCCTCCTGCTCACTGCTGAGAATGAGCACCAGCCTCAGAGATTGGCTCAATTTGCAGTGGTATAATCAAAGACCTGCTATTTTTTTAAAATCAAATTAGTCATTTTTAAAATTTTGCCTTAAACTAAGGGGTAATATTTATGGACTTGGTTCATGTTTCTATCTAGAAGGATCTTGCTGTTATATCTGGATGAAAGTCAGGAAGGACTGTTTCGTGGGATTCCCACATCAGCCAATGAGCCCAGCAGATAAGACATCAGTGTCTCTTTGAATAGCTCCTTTCCTTGGCTTAGGTGTTTGTAACAGGGTAATCCTTGGTTCTGGAAGCTTAACTAGGGTCTTAGTCATTGTAAAAAACATTTGTTTACAGAGAAAATCAAGTTCACATGAATATTTGGGCCATTACTGAGAAAATTTAGAGTCAGAGGAGGCAGGTAACTGAGGGAGTAGGAGAACAAGGCATAGTGACTTTGTGAGACACTATTGGTAAAACTCGAACCCGTCTTAAAGCAGTTTAACAAAATCTTAACCTTGAGTGTCTAGTGTCTTAGCACATGGCTCTTCCCTCACACTGAGGACTAAATGTGATTTGGATACGGAGAGGGCATTTCCGAGCCTTCCCCAAAGACTTCGGAACTGAGTGGGTCGAAGGGTGGGCTTGGGGGAAGCTTGTTTATGTGAGGGATCATCCACCTCAAGCTGACTTTTACTCTCGACACAGTCCCAGTAGACACAGAGGCAACATCCTACTACCCCAGCCCCATGACATGGCTCTGCTCTCTGCTTCCTGTAAGACATTCTGGGACCTAATTCAGCATGCTCCACCTTACGCGCTGTCAGATAACACACTGCAATCACTCAGGTCCTCTAGCTCTCATCTTGCCTTATTCAAAATATTTCAAGTATTAGAAAGAAAATGAGATGACGAATAACTAGGAGGAATCCTAAAATAACCATGACAGCACTACCATCTCTAGGAGCGGACTAGAGATGTGATGATTAGCTGACTTGTGTCCTCCTCCTGTTCCCATGTCCTGGAGTGTTAGGACAGAGCTAGAAATACAGTCTTAGTGATCAGTTTCCTGGGAAAGTCTCAGAATGGGCTCCTCAAGGATGTGCTTGGATAGGCCATCTTGAACCCGTTCAGAAACACTCCACAGCCTCCTGTTTCTGCCTCTGAGACAAGGAGTCTACTCAGGCAGGGTGAGCAGTCCCTTTGGTTCTGGCTGAGATTACAACTGGTAGAATAATAGCTGACCACCAGCCACCTGCCCTCTTCTAAGTCACAATTAAAATGAAATTAGTACATCAGAAATATTCTAACTCTAGCAAGCAAAAAATCCACACTCCTAATGGGGTCAAATATATATTGAGTTTTGTTCATTCAGTCAACCAGCATTTTCTGAGCAGCAATTGGTATGGTCAGATTACCTGATGGTTCTTCCTGCTCTATCTCCTCTGCATCCTCATCATCATCATCTTCCTCCCCTTCCTCCTCCTCCTCTTCCTCCTCCTCCTTTTCCTCCTCCTCCTCACTGTCTTTCTCAAGCTCATCCTTCTCAGTTTTATAGGAGCACCCCTCGGGTTTCTCCTCCGCAGGCAACGCCAGCCTTCTCATCTCCAGCTTCTCCAGGCTGCTGTTCAGGTTGATCATGGTGAGGTCTGGGAGGCTTCCTTCAGGGTGGGCCAGTCTGTTGGCAGAAAACAGCTGAGTCACAAGAGGAAAGGCTGTCAGGAGACATCAAGTGGGGCAAGTAAAAGGAGGATAAATAGAAATGGAAATTGGTGCATGTGCACAGGCCTTGCAATGTGGGGATGTTAGTGTCTGGTCACTTTAAAAAAAATTCTTTCTAGAAACAAATTGTAAACTCAGGTTTTGTTAGCTTTTTGGATACAGTTCTAATGATTAGTTGGTAATGAGAGCTATTGACACCTAAACTTGACATTTTTCCCAGAGGAGAAAATGGTCAGAGTTTAGGATGTAGAAGCATGAAACGGCATCATGTAGAGCAAACATTTCATGGCTTCACAGGGGGACTTACTCATTTTGGTGGATTGGTAATTTTTTCTTGATGCTGCTCAAAGTAATTGAAATAGAAAGGAAAAAAAGGAGATGAGAACAGAAGAATTATAAGGAATGTCAGAGATCACACATCATGCTACATAGCATCCATTATTGCATTCCTGTATGCAGGCTGCAGTGAGTCCTAATGGCAAATGCATTCCAGGAGGGCATTAACAGCGAGCTTTTGCTAGGAACCTATGCTTGCCAACTTGACTGTAGAGTGGACAGGACTGAGGGTTTTCAGGGAGAGAATATAATGATGGCTGAGGCAAATCATGTCATGCTTTTTGGTAACGCAGCAAACCATCCCACAAGAACCAAGTTATTCACATTTTAAATCGCTTTTAAAATTTTTTATAAGTAACGTGTAATTCCAGTCAACCTTCGCGTAGACTTACTCCGTTTTGCCATCAACTAAAGCATATACAGTGGAAGAGAAGTGCTCTCAGGAGAATTCCTGGGGCCTTGGGTTAACCCACTGTGCTGTGGTTGTGATTGCGAGGTGATGGCTACAGACAAGCTAGGGGCACAGACGCAGCTCCGCTGAACCTGAACAGCACAGGGACACCACCGCTTATTTCATGGTGGAAAATCACGAGTATGATCTTTCTCCTTCATGTAAAAATGTCTCTACTGCATTTGAATGAATATCTGAAGGAAACTTCATGGCATATAAAATGGCCTTAGGAAAAGATCTACTGGAAAAGTGATATTCCCTTTTGTGATAATTTATCAAAACATTCCTGCCTGAAGGTGACAGGAAGGACAATCAATAATACTGTTCTATCTATGTGACTGTGGGCTCAGAAGAGACTATTTAACCTTTCTGGAATTTATTTTATTTTCTATAAATTCAGGAAGTTTGGCTAGATAAATTCTAAGCTACCTTTAATTCTTAGTTTTATATGTGAATCGCACCTGGGTTGGTGGACAACCATAGTGACCTATCTACATTTCCTTGAACTTTTAGAAGGTTATCGCTCCAAAATATTATCTTTTAACAGGGTGTCTGTACACGACAGAGTGCAGAAATGAGTTAATTTAATAATTAAAGAACATTCTGGGATGGGCAATGTCAATGGCAGAACTCATGCAGACACACTACTTTCTTACTTTATAAACAAGCCAATTTACCCTTCTGCTTGGGGAATGTTTACCACTCTGGTAACTACAGTGCCATATCTTCTATACAGTGCTGCACAGCAAAACTCAGGGTATGTTTGCTACCCCAGCTTTGTCAGGACATTACATATTAAATAGCATTGAATGGAAAAGCAAACAGCTATAACCCAATTGTCAATATTTCTATGTTCTTGTCTACATTACCATTTTCCAGGTAAGAAGATAACTTTAATAATGACAAGGGATTTGGTAGTTGTTAGTGTGGAAAATGACCATCTCATTGCATTTCAAATATCTGCATCGGCACTGCCATGACTTGTTATTGATAAGGAAACTCTAATAGCTAGTGTTATTTAGGGAGTGAAATGCACTGATGAAGCGATCTTTGCATAATAGAAAGTCCACAAGCAATGGGGGTCAAGCTGTCTTTGCATAATAGAAAGTCCACAAGCAATGAGGGTCCCATAATACCAGACCACAGGCTGGCCTTACAGAGGAGTTACTGAATGATGGGTCAAAGGAAAACACTAGAGTAAACCCTTTGGAAGAATATCCAGAGGAAACTTGTGATAGTCTAGAAGAGATCTTGGGTGACATGGAGCTGGTGAGAAAAGAGAAGCAAATTTCTGGTTCTGATGCTGCTCTTTTGTCCCTGACCTAATCCATAGGAGAAAACCAAGTGCCTAAGACCAGTGCCTCTGGAGCAGTTAACCTCACAAGCTTATCACAGAGGCCAGACAAACATCTGGGAGTTTGTTAATTGAGACATTTCAGTGAGTTGTGCCTTTCATTATATAGTCAGGAAAATCTGTGTATAATAAATAAAATGCATATAGATAAAAATGTTTTATATGCATGACTGGCAAATATTATTAAAAGGAGAGATCAGTATGAATTCTTTTACTTTTCCATGTTTATCACAGCACTTTTTTTTTTTGGAAACAGCACGCACAAATTATGTTAAAAGCACTGAGTTTGGAATCAGAAAAACTTGAAAAACTTGGGTTTAAGCCTCAGGTAGACAAACTAGCTAGGTGACTTGGCAAAACTCCTTACCCTAGTTCAGCTGATCTGTAAAATGGAATGGCATTGCCTACTGGGAAATTCAAGACCATTTCTATTAAGTGCTTAGCACAGTGCTTATTACACAGGAGTATTTAAAGGTAAGGAATCACTTGCTAATGGTAGATTTTTATTTCCTGAAATTTGAAAATCTATATTATAAATTCATGTAACAAAGACATAGAGTTAGAAACATGCCTTTAAAAGGAACTCTATCAAGCCAGTGTTAAGGCAGTTACTCAACTTGAACGGTAATTTTGTCATCAGGCATAGCCAGAACTTGTGTATTAAAATGATCATCCAAGAGAAAGAGCAAAGAATTTTTCCTCTGGAATCTGTCTCCAGTCTGCAAATCATGTCCCCGACTGCATTCCACAGGGCACGGGACTCCTGCAGAGGTGGGGCTGTCTGTGCACTGCAGAATTCACAGGCAGTTACTTGAGGGACAGCTGCATCATTCTCCATGACCATATTCTCCATGTAAATCTGTGCAACTTAATTTAACTTTTTGCTCTAGAAACATTAAAGAAGGGATCCTGATTTTTTTTTTCAAAAAATACAATTAAAAACCATATTCTAGTAAAAACATTCCCTGAAACCTATATTACTCGTATGATCACATGTAAGCTAGTCAATCCTTATCAGGGGTTTTAATTGGAACTCATGAATGTGGTGATGACCACCATATCACCATATCTAAGACTACATTTTACGCACCACTTTCTATTAAAGAAAATGGAAATTCTGCCATTATAAATTTACCTTAGTCTAAGTTTCTTTATTTAAAAATTGGAAAAGGTGGTGTTCAATTGCACTAACCCATTCATTAGACTGTTCAGAAAAAGGAGATGTCTTCCAAATTTGTGATGTGTAGAAGTAACATTTAAATATTGTATATAGAATATTTACACTCTTTAAGATTATTTCCTAAAATTCATAAGCATTTTTAGAAGATTGTATTCACATATTAGTATTTATCAATTTAACATCACATCTTGAATATGTGTAAGCAATTATTCCAAAAAAAATTACCAGGCAGGATTAGGTATATTGGGTATATTGGCTAATGTGTGTGTGTGTACACACATACATGAAATAACCACTATTCCTGCTAAAATATTGTGATTCATACTGCTCCTCAGTTTGGCTGGAATTCCCCAAAATCATTCATATCTTGAAAATTTTATCAATTATCCACTATCTTCAATATTTACCTCTACCTACTACCTTGTTAGCAGATAATGTCTAAATTTTAGTCCATCCAAAAGCTGACTGTAGATAGGCCCACACTTTCACCCAGAACTCACATATTTAAACAATTAAAAAAATATATGAACTGCAAGAAAAGTATTGAATGCAAGTAAATAAATTATGGGAGAAAGAAAGTTCGTTCACTTTGTTCAAGTACTCATCCTGTGATTCTCCTAAAGAGTACACTCCATCAATGTTGGACTCAACACGCCACCTTTCAGAAACACTAGTTGGTCATGCATCTCTGGGCTCTAATCTAGTCTTCCTTTGCATGTTTGCGATCAGACAAAAATGAGAGTCCAGTGGAAAACAAATAGTGCTATTGCTGGGATGCTTTTTTTTTTTTTTTAATTATTTTGGCTGACTTTGAATCTCATCATTCTAAGAACTCCTGAGTGAATTCACTGACCTTATGACTTGGGGTAATAGATACAGGTTTTTCTCTTAAGAGGGGAAGATAGACATATGGGAGGTTCTCAACCAAAATTTGTATCAGCCTGGCCAGTGGAGTCCAACAAGCAGCTCCTGCCCTCTTGGTGTTCCAGTTATCTCCACACAAAGTAAATAATTGAGCTTTCTTTTGTTGGCGGGGTAAGATTTAAAGAGTTTTTCAAGATCGCTACCTAGAGTCTCTTCTCTTCTTATCAGCAAAAAGCCTGAGGTTGATTTTTCTCTCTCAGGCTGTAAACAAAAGTGACTCCAAAATGTAGGGTCCTCATTTCTCCTTCTTTAACAGAGTGATGCACTGAATTATAAAATCCTTCTAGAATTTCTGTCTCCTAGGGCTTGTGTTTAGTCTTGGTCTTTGCCTCAGAGAAAAGCAAATAGAAATAGAAATAGGAATAGAAAACTAATGAATGTTTCAAAGAGCTATTTTGTTAATTGGATTTATTACCAAATACATGTTTTATTAACTAGGTTACTGGCTTTATTACTAATGGCATAAAGTAATGGGAGTGGATATTTTTAACTTACTTACTTAATAAAGTAAGAATAGTTTTGTAAATAAGATCCCAAAGGATCTTTGCTCTGTACTCGAGGGGCACTTGAGGACAACTCTCTATATAATACTTACCAAGGTTAGTTTTTATTGTGTATGGCCATTTAGTACATTCTATTTTCCTAGCTAGGTGACATGAGTGTTAAGATACACATACACCATGTTCATCTTCCTACCTTTCACAAATACAGTTTGAAATCTGGAGATGTAAAATACCAACCTGCAATATGTTTCAAGGAAAGTTTTAGTTGAAAAAATGTATGGTTGGTGTTTTCATTTTGGTGACATGTTGTTTTGACGGTTTTTACTTCATTCAATGAATATCTAATGAGGCTCAACTCATAGCTAAGGCCCTGAGGTATATAACTTAGGGACACTTTGGTATATTATGCAAGGAACTCCATACCTGAAAGCTGATGCCTCTGACAGGGGAGCTAAGACAAGCGGGCAGAGAGAGGACTTGGAGAGTGCCAGGGTGCAGCAGAGATAAAACGCTGCAGCAGCACGGAGGGAGGGCGGAGGGCGGTGACTGTTAGCAGGGGTGTTGGCATTTATGGGTGGCTTTGTGGAGGAGGTGGTTCTTTAGCTGAGCTTTCACTTCAATCTTCAAACAAGAATGAGCTCTCAGGTAAGCCTTGGACTAACTCTACTGAAGAATGAAATGAATGAGGCTTAAGTTTGAACTGAGACCAAAGGCCGAGCACCAGCTGAAGAACCTTGTCAACCTCCAAATCCACCTGCGGCACCATTTAGTCTAAACACCAAATGGATTGGTTTGCAAAATACATCCATTAGCATACCTGAAGACCATGGTCCATAATTGTTCATTTATAAAACAGTAAAGTGTTTATCACACCAAGGGACCATTTTTAACAAAAAATAAGACAGAAAACATTGAAGTACCCACCTATTTATTATTAGATATACGCGCCCATTGACTTTGGCGTGGCTACGAGGTGAGAGATGGAAGCGCAGGGTGGCATGAGGTGGCAGTGGTAGGTAGGTTGGAGAGAGAAAGAGAAGATTGTTAGAGGTGAATGAAGGAGACTGTGTCTCCTAAGCTTTCCATCCTCAGTTGTATCGTTGACACATGTTGCATGCAGTAAAGAGTCCAGGCAGCAAGATTCAGGAACAACATGAAATTAGAGATATTCAGGAAAAATGCTAAAGATAGTAAGTCTATTTTTCTCATCACTCCTCACCTAACATACTTGTTAAAAATTGTAACTTTTAAAGTTTCAATGTACATTTTTTGAGATAAATCACAGACTAAAAGACTCATTCTTGCTCCTTTCCCAGATCAAAATAAATAAATAAATAAATAAATCCTAAGTAACCATATTCAACATTCTGGTCTCTAAGGCTCTCTAAACTGAAGTTAAAAAATACAGTTATACCTCATTTTAGAGTGCCTCTGTTTACTGTATTTTTTAGATACTACAGAACCCACCACCACCAAAATGATTACAATTACTGAAAGTTCTGGTGATGGTCAGCAGGATTTTTTAGCAAAAAAGTAATTCTAAAGTAAGGTGTGTACAACTAATAGACAGTATCATATTGTTACTATGTTATTGCCTATTGATGCAATAAAATTGCATAAACAAATCTTTGATAGGCACTGGGAAACCAAAAAAAAATCATATAACTCACTTCACTGAGGTATTGTCTTTATTGCAATAGAAACAAACTTGCAATATCTCCAAGGTATGCCTGCAAATCACCTTATCTCTATGTGCAGTACAAAACTTTCTAACTCAAATCACAGGCAGAAGACAGAGATGGATTTAAAAAGTTTCATTTTATGTATATGGTAACACTTTTCATAATGGTAACTTTGTGGATTCTGTAAGGTTAACCAATAAATTCTGTTACACACATAAGTGACTTTTGTCTAGAAAAATCTATACTTCCCTACAAGTAAGTGTACACATACACCTTGCATGCACAGACAATGGACAACATAGAAAAAGAGCAGTTGAATATTTACAGAAACAAGAGTGCTAAAATCACTTCAAAGAATGCAAAGGATTATTATCCCGAAATTGTGGGTCTTTTTTTTTATAAACGAGAGAAAGCCAAGCAAGGCAGTCAGTTTCAACTCTGACAGTATTTCTTTCTTTTCATCAGTTTGATATTTAATGAGTCCTTGATCAAGGCTCTAAGGACACAAATACTGGAGACGTGTGTTATTAAGGAGGAAACCTTTGAAATGGGAGTAGTTGCTAGTTGTATATATGCCAAATGTTAGATGTTAAGATTTGGGGGTATTTATCTCATCACTCCTCATCTAAGATTTAAGATATGGGACAGTGCACTCCTCATGAACCTCCAAATAGCAAACTTGATGGGGGTTTTCAGTTTTCTTTTTTTTTTTAAAGATATATTAAGTTTTATGTACAGAACTGTGGTACAGGCCAGAGGTACAGGAGCGGTGAGAGGATTCACCAGAGTCAGAGTGGGGAACAGAACAGATTGAAGAAGTACTCTGCTAAGGGGAGCAGAGAGTAAGACAGGAGAGATCTGCTGCACCATGTGAATCACCTCCATGGTGAGATGGCACAAAAGAGGCCTCAAGCTACCTCATCAGGGAGGGCCTGATCTTCAGTTTTCTTAAAAGGGCTAGAAAACTTATTTTTCACTAAACCAAAAATGAATCCTATGCCCCTAAACTTCTGAGATAGCTGACACTGTATACTCTTTCCTCATCTTTTAAATTTCATTCAAAAATTTAAGAAAGTGCTCTAGTGAAAACCATACAAGGGGGACGTTGGACAGGTGATGTAGAGCATCCTTCTATGATTGCATGGCTTGGAGTATAAGTACTGTGAAATGTAGCCCCTGGAAAAGTAAGGAGAATACCTCTTGATGTGAGGTTGTAATTTTTCCAAGAACCTACATAGTTCAAAAAAAAAAAAAGTTCTCTATATTTAGGAGCTCTAAAGACCAAATTCAAGTTCATATCTCCTCTGACTCAAAACTTATAATTCTTGAGGCTTGTGAATAAAACTTATGCTGAGCTGCACTGTCTTCTACAAACCTATGGTATTAAAAATCCTTATTTTCCTGGAAACGTTGTGACCTATATGTGGGTTCTGTTGGTCAGAGTCACTAGCATACTAAGAGTTATCTGCAGCTTGCTCCCAATGAAAACAAATGCAAACTTAGGGTCAACAAAACAAAACAAGAAAAATAAGTTTTCTCATCACAAATGAAGATAAAATATTTTCAATCATCAAATAAAACATTTTGGAATTTCCATAATTCCAGACCCAACTACAGCAAAAGTATTTACTTTCATAAACTGTAAGCGATAAACTACTCCACCATCGTTTGAGGTACTCATTTTTTTTCTTGCCTTGAAAAGAGTTAAAGAAAAGTCAAAATATTTAAGGAGAATTTTCAAATGTGGCATCCATACTCTTTGTAATAGCCCTTACTCTCTTCTTTGCTTTCGAGTGCTTTTCTGATAATAGTTAACAGGTCATAAAGTGAGCAGAGAAGAAAACTGGTATTAGCATTCACTAAAAGAATTTCCCTGGGATGCAAATTGTGACAATCCATTTTGGTGTCAACACACCTAGGCAGAGAGAGCACTATTCAATCTATTCCTTGTAAACACGTTATTTTATTAACAAGAAGACAACAGAGAGAGGATGCAAGAAAACATTGTTTTCACTTCCTTTTTTTAAATGTTATTCCAGTTACTAGCAGACTGTAGATTCTATCTTTTTTGGTTAAGGACCTTTATTTTCAAAATGGAAAGGAAAATTCTGTACATTATCTTAGGCTGTGACATCTTACTGGTTACACAATAGGAAACTTTTTCTCTGTATTAGCCAGATTTTGAAAATGTTCTAAAAACACACCCATTGCCTAAGTAAGCACAAAATATAACATAATTCGAAAGTATTTCAGGGCTATTCTGAAGCTACTCACATGATTATCAAGATCAATAACAATTGTTCAGAAAATGTCCTCAGATAGCCCACAATTTCTCTCTCATTTTAAAATTTACGGGTTGACCTTCCTGGAAACCACAAGACTGAGACCTTAAGGTAGATAATAGGCTTGTCAATGATGACCAAGGGCAGGGAAGGGAGGCACGTGCTTCTCGAGCTACTCACCTGTAGATGGCGCTGTCTTCCTTTACCGGAATGGATTTAAGGTCTGTGAGTTCCAGGAACCGATCGTGGAAATAGTGAAGGTGCAAAATACACACCAGCAGGAAGGAAGTGGGGATGAAAATGCGAGTGAATAGCTCAGCCACCGTAAACTGTTTCAAGCCAAGATCCTCAAGCCTGTAATACAAAACAAAATGCGAGCCGCGCTCTTGGGGCAAAGAAGACATTCTCTTCACCATAAATGACATCAGTCTTTCCCTCTCTGTTATGCCTTATAGTGTTCCTCCTTCTCTCCCATACATTCCAGTTTCTCTTTCCCTCCATCCAACCGACCAACCAACTTTTACACTGTCAGTAACAGCCTCCACATTGCACATTGAGTGACTTTTCCTCTATCTTTGTTTAGTTCTGCCTCTAGTCTTGAATCAACCCTGGTCTTCATGTCACCACACTGCCCTGTTTTCTTCCATCACTCTCTCTTCCTTTTTTTGGGGGGGGGGAGGGGGGCTGCTGATGCTGATAGAGTCCTGGGACCGGTGCGGCCTCTCTTCTTTGCTCACTTTATGCCAACTTTAAACCAGTGAAGCAAATTTGCGTCCACAGTCACACTTCTCCTGTGGGCTCTGACGCTCAAATGTCGATCGGAAATTGGAGATTTCACTGTTTTTTATGTGTTTCAAAACAAAATTCTTGATTTCCCAACTTCCCTTAGCAAAGTCATCCTCTACCTCCCTCTCCCTTCTTTGGTCTTCCTTGGAACAGTCTCCCCGGCACAAAATTTAATAACCAGGAAGTCTTTGGTGATTCTTGCTCTGCCCTGACATCTCATTCACTCACATTTTCTTCAGTGTCCTAAACATCTCTTGAACCTGTTCACTTCTGTTACCTGTGTCTCCTTCTACATATTTAGATGAAACCATTATCATTTCTCACAGAACCTCTGCTGTTATTTGCTACCTTGTCTTATTTCTACTCTGTTGGCTCATTTTTCCTCAGCCAGTCAAGACATTTTGCAAACATTTCGCCAAGAATAAAATACAAATCCCACTTGCATAGCACAGTGTCTGACTGATGCTCCCACTTCTTCTTCACTCTCTCCCTTGCTTCCTGCAAGTGAGGCCTTCAATTCCTCACAGAGTCAAACTCTGGCCTGATCCAGGCCTCGGCACTTGTTATTCCTTTTTTCTGGAATGTTTTCCCACTTTCCAGCTCACACACTTTCTAAAATCAAGCTTTTTCTCCTTTGGGTGTCCTCTGGGTAACCCCACTTTCTCATTACCTCAGCCTGACTTCTTCCATCAGAGACTTGTCACAATTTGTAGTTAATCTTTTTGAACATTAAGGAGAGTTTTTTCTTTGTCTCCCTATTGGAATATAAGCCCCACAGGTCTCAGGACTGTCTTGTTTCCTGTTGCCTGCCCAGGCACAGAGCAGTGTCTGGCATGCAACAGGCATTCAATAAATATTTGCCGAAGAGCTGTTAAAGATGTGTTAGTCTAGCTATATAGCAATCTTACCTTCCAGACTTTTTCCCTCAGCAACCTCAGTGCATTTAGCTCTGTGCTCAATTCTGGCTGGATTTCTCAACTAATTCCCCAACTTTACAGAAGTAAATTAGAAAAGGATAGAGTACTATTAGATTAATAGGAAAAATCATTTCATCATCACTTGTCTATCAATATAGAAATTTCTTTTTCTATGGCACTAACTATTCCTGATAATCTTATCACTAGCTCATAAACAAAGACAGAGTATTGCTTTACATAACAAGTCAATAAACACATTTGAGAACAGAAGAACTGAGTTCCGATGGAAAGCAGAAAGCATTTAGTAAATCACTGAGCAGGTATATTTCATGTGAAATGGACATTAGCAAATACCGTTTCATTAAAATGAAGCTGAAACTCACTTTTCAGTCAATGTTCATTGAGTACATACTATGTGCCAAGCTCAGGGCTACATAGAGAATATGCAAAATGACTGAGATCTAAATCCTATCCTCCAGGAATTATAGACACTGATAACATTATGTTTCAATAAAATCTTCCATAGGGATGTCTTCATGTTTTTTTGTTTGTTTGTTTTTTCCATTTCATCTCATATCACACACCAAAATTGCTTACTTTTCTTTTTTCAATCCGGTCATATTTTGCCATAAGCCTGGGAAGTTTTCAAACTGATATGTGTATATAAAAATAAGCACCAGCATTGTGTAAATAACCACTGACATCCAAAAATATTTTAGAATTCGCCTCCACCATTCATAGTGCACCTGTGAATCAGATGGTAAACAAATAAGGAAAAAAGTTGGCTTTGGGGAAATTCACAAAAATAACAGATTTATTCAACTAAGGCAGTTACCATCAGGTAACTACAAATGTTTGAAAATAAAGTTGACTTCTTTCTTTGCTTTTTAGATTCTATTACTCATAGGTTTAGATGGATGTGGGCTGAAAGAGGAGTCTCTTGGGAATAACTATGAGAAATAATGGTACTAGATGAATCAAAATTTGGAAATCACACAGAGAAGAGACGTCCCTCTTTATCAAGACAATAGCTACCTTGAATTTTAAAGAGTATTTAAAAGAATTTTTTTCAGTTGAGATATTTTTACCTCCATATATAAATACACTTTTTTTTTCTGCTACAGTTGCTTTATATGTTTCTTTGGGTACCTGGAAAGTATATTTTGCTGTTGCTTTTGTTTCTATCATTGTGTTCCCTTCTATCGTTAGTTAACATTGACTTTGTAAAAAAGCTGACTCATTTTAATGCAATATTTAATAAATTATAATTAATGGAATGCTAGAGTGCTTGATGTGTAACAATACATATATATACACACATATACCAATACACATATAGCCATGCACACAGACTTTTCTGACTCCAAAGTCTGCAATACAAGTGCACTGGATATCATCCAGTATTTTAAGATTATCCAATCACTGTTCTTAAATTACTGTTAAAAATTATAATCTTTATGGGATTCATTTAGTAATACACTTTTTTTCAAAAAAATTAAGATTTTTTTTTTTCTTTTTAGGAGACTAAAATTTAGTGAACAATCTGAAAATAGTCATTTCCCACTTTAGGATTCATAGTATATAATGTTTGACTATTTTATGTTTATGGGAGTATTAGAATCTAGAACCTCATCAAAGAAAGTTCATAAGTACTCCTAGAACCAGCAAAGATTGAAAAAACAGAGGATAATTATTTACCTACCTGATATAAGGCCACACAGAACAGAAACAGCACCATGTAGATGATTTTGTACATCACAATTTTACCCTCGAAACTGACGAAGAAGAACATTCCCCCACAGACATAGATCCAGTACTTAATGAACATGGCCACCACCAAATTGCCCAGCACTTTCATGATGTCCTGGTCATCCTCTTCATCCACTTCCTCTTCCTCTTCTTCCTTCTTTCCCTCTTGTTTCTCTTCCTCTGCTTCTCCTTCTTCTTCTTTTTCTTCTTCTTCTTCCTCTTCCTTCACATCACCTTCTCCTTCTACTTGTGTGTCTTGCTCATCATCTTCAAAATAGAACCTGCTATTAGATTTTTCTGGTTTGCTGACCAAAACCATACTCTGACTTGGAGTGATATATATGAGACATAGATGTGCATATTTTATGTGTCACTATATGATTTGACTGATTTTAGACAGTTCTAATAAAGAGAGGAATTCATAACTAAGGATAGACAATTTTATAATCTTCCTGAAATGTTGCTTAAAAGAAATGAGTTTGGTAATTTTTTTTTTTTTTACTAATCTTTTCATAATACATTTTCCATTTCCAGTATCCAAAGATAGCTTTGGTATTACAGGAACTAGAAAAATAAACAGTCAACAAGAACATATATCATAACTACTGTATTCATTTTAAATTTTAATTGATCATGACTTTTTTACAATCTAAGCAGTACTTAATGAATGTGGTTAATTCTAATAATCTTTCCAACATACATGTTTTTAAAAACCTGAATGAGCAAGTTTTAAAGTAATGTAATTTAATTTAGATTTAAAGAGAATTTTAACTTAATTAAGTTTCAAACAGTTTTATACATTGGAATTAAAAATTTCCTTGGTCTTACTTTAAAGTATGCTAATACAGAAGACTCATCTTCGTGTTTCTGTGGCTACCTACAACTTATTCAAGTAACCAAAGCATCACAAAATGAAATGGATGAAGGTGAGGGCTCAGAACAATTGTTGATCTCAAATTTAACTACAATACTGAAAATACTAACTCTTTTGAATAGAAACATCCAAATTCAAATAGTCAAGATCTAAATCTTATGAACTGTTTTCTTTCTTTTTCTTTTTTTTTTTTGCTGCAAAACAACTTAGTGTTATATCTAAGTGAGAATCTGTAAGAAAAAATATATGAGTTGATCTATGTTGATTTTTTTCATCACTGCTGGATTGCTTAAGGTTACCAGCCTAGCTTTTGTAAAATTCTTTACAACATTCTTTTCAAAGACAATGCTACTTTCTTCATTTAACAGTAAAGGTACACTTATTAACAATAAGTTAAGGAGGGAAGTGTCCTCGTTTTGCTTTTATAAAGATGTAAAACTATGCAAATGATAATGAAACATCATCTTCTTTCTTTGACTTTGTGGTATATTATATTTGAAAAGGAGGGGATTTGAATTGAAACCATTTGAATCAGTTTCTTGGTTCTAATACCCATTAAAATGGTGACCTCAGAGAAATCATTAATCTTGTCTGAGTCTCGATATTTACCCCTTACATAGGTATCACTTTTGCAAGAATTAAATACTTCTTTTTTTCCCCTAAAGGTTTATTTATTTATTTATTTATGCATGCAGAACTGAAGTACAGGCCAGAGATGCAGGGGTGGTGAGAGGCTTCACCAGAGCCAGAGTGGGGAGCAGAACAGGACGACTGAAGAAGTACACTGCTGAGGGGAGCAGCAGGCGATCAGGAGAGGTCTGCTGCACTGTGTGGATCACCTCCAGGGTGGGGATCAAACTCACACCAAAGTGGTCTTGGCCAGCTTAGCAAGTGTTGCACTTTAACCCTTTGCACCACCAGAGGGCCCATGCCAAAATATTTCTAAAAGTGCCTGTGTATTCTAAATTTCATGTATTATTAACATTACAATTTATCTCTCCAAGTTCATGTTTGACTTTCTCCTTGTCTGAAATACAGAGATTTTCTGATGCCTTTAGGGTCTTTTACTCTACAATTTTGTTAAGCACAAAAAACTCCAGTCATACACTATACACACTAGTTTACCTTTCTCTTCATTTTCCTGACTTCCAATTTTGACCTCAGATAAAAGAGCTTCCTTTTCTTGAAGAGCTTTCTGCTCTGTGAGATGCTGCCTCAGCAGTAGCCAAAAAGTTACAGTGAAAAGTATCTAAAAGCAAAGAATTAGAAAATTATAGACACATTTCAGCAAAAACACCTTTTTCTTCACATTCAAGCAGGAAAACAATAAATAAGCCTTTCTGCTTGAGATAGAGTCAGGTACCCACTCGGTTTCAAGTGAAAGCCCTTGGCCTTTGGATCCAATCCTCTTCCCAGAGGACGCATACCTGTGTGTTAAGTGCCAGGAGCTCACTCAGCACTGTGCAGGCCCTGCGGCAGGTGCACAACAGTGCAGACCACTCATACCTGTGCTGGACATCAGCCGTGGCCATTGGTCTCCTGGGAAGTGCTAGTACTTGATTTCCTGGGCTGACTGTGATATCAGCACAATTAAACAGGAAGACATATTCCATATGTAATACATTTCACTCTGCAGTGTTCCTTATTTTGAAGAATTCCACATATGGGAAAAAGAACATTTCATTCTGGAAATAGAATCCCTTAATAGCCCCCATTCACCTCCCAGAGCTGAAGGAGGGATTGCTGTAAGTGCCCGAATGTTTATATTAAAATTTTCTTGAGAACAAAGAGTGGGTTTGAGGGGACTTATGATTTCAGGAATTCTGTTCCTTAGAGAACACAGGCCCTGGTATGTAGTAGGCCTTTCTTTCTTTCTTTCTTTCTTTTTTTTAACAAGCTGTATTACAATAAAATTCACAGAACATATGATTAGTCACTTAGGAAGTCAAAGTCAATGGTTTTCAGTATATTCAGAGCTACCATCACTGCAATTAATTTCTGAATGTTTGATCACCCCCAAAAGAACTTTTTCTATAAGTCATCTACTCTGGGTATCATATGTAAGTAGAATTACATAAAATATGTTCTTTTCTAAGTGGCTGAATGTTTTCAAGATTTCCCCTGTACTATATATTGTTAGTTCATTTCTCTTTATTACCAAACAATATTCTACTGTATGTAAAATTTTGAATACCGGGCAGAAATGTCAGTATGTGGGTTCTCATCAATGCACTTACAACTGCAAGGCACAACTCAAGATCATTTACAAAGTGGTGAGAGAGATAAGGGAGTTGGGAGAAAGAAAAGAGTTATGAGGCCACGAATCTTCCAGAGCCATCAGGCACAGGCCAGCAGCATCTAGCAGCAGGTGATATGGAAGGGGAGCGGGAGGCAGGAGCAGCAGGCACTGTGCAATCAAGTGGTCAGTTGGTGGTGCGGGAGGTCAGGCAGCAGCAACTGATGATTCAAAACAAGTTGGAGCACTGAAGGCAGGAGCCAGGGTGCTCAAGGACATGAAGTGAAGGTCTTGCCAGGAGAGAGTATCTTGACAAGTCTAGGAGACCTTAGTGTTTGAAGTAAGACTCCCAAGCTGTCTTCTGCTTGGCTTATGTGCCCATCAGGGTGCCTGGATTCCAAACTTGGTGCCCATTTTCAGAATCAGTGCCATTTCTAAAATTTGACTGGCACAATCAAGAGAGCTCAAACACGACTGCACATTTTCAAAAATGAAACTCCACAGGCACGTGAGCCTGACTTAGTCTGAGGACAACTGTTAAACCCTGCTTGTGTAGGATGTAGTTTGGGGGGCAGAAAGTGTGCAGCAGAGGTAGGGACTGCACACGGCTGCTGAGGTGGGCCTACAGCATAGCTGGGCACACCCTTCTGTACCCTGACCTAGGAACTGTGGGGCTCCTGTTACATGTGAATAAATAACACTTTGTTTACCCATTCATTTCTTGATGGGTATTTAGGTTGTTCATACTTTGCATGTATTGTCACTATGAATAACCCTGACATGAGCATTTATGTGCAAGCTTTTGTGGAGAGATGTGTTTTCTGAGCTCTTAGGTATCTGTATCTAGTAATAGAATTGTTGGGTCTTATGGTAATTTTCTGTTTACCATTTTGAATAATGTAAACATTATTCAATGTTTAGCTGGCTAAAGGGCTGCACACATATTACTTCTCATCAGCTGTGTATGATTATTCCAGCTTCCCCACTTCTTTACTTATATATTTTATTTATTTATTTTTAATTCTAGCCATCTTAGTGGATGTGTAATATGGTTTATAGTAGGATATTAATAAATATATGCCAAAGCAAGGGAAAAATATATGAGTAAATGAATGGGTCATTTTCACTGTGAATAAATGCTCACTTAGCCATTCACAAGTGTTTACCACTTATCTTCAACATAAACTATATGTGCAGGTAGACGAACTGAGAATCTAATGAATACCTACACTTTCCGAAACTCACTTTCCAATCTGGATGTTAAAACAAATTGAACTGTGGCTGCAATTTAGGAAAGCCTCTCTAATGAATATGTAGAGAGCTTGGGAATATTTCAAGCTATTGGAATATCTTTCCCAAGGAGAGTGAGCTAAAAGCTGGGTTTTGAAGGTAACAGTTGATAATGGCTTGACAAAGGGATGAAAAGAGAAGTTCTAGACTTTGACACTGCTACCCAGTAGCTAAGTCATACTCCTCAGCCATACTCCTTTCTCTCACAGAGACTCACAGTGTGGTATAAACAGGACATTTCACAATGTACTTTGATGAATATCACTGTTTGGAGTTTGTTGTTATTATCCATGACAAAGTCCTTCACTTTTTTGAGCTCCTAAGTGGATTAAAATATAAATCCAGACCCCAGTTTCCTTGGAATCATGTTGTTTTCTTTTTGCAAGAAACAGATGTATTTCTTCTGACATGTTTCCTCCTCCAAGAATTACTAATTTTATACTAGGTTAGTTAGCTGGCATGCATTGTGAGAAGTTTTACTGATATTCTGAGTCAGGTTATGATGAATTTACAGAATTTATAGAATGAGATTTTCAATTTTCTTTTTAGAAAAAAGCCTAGTACACCAGTATGTGTCTTTGTTTGCATGTCTTTCAGAGGACAGTTTGGGTGGGAGAGAAGGACATAAGAATGTCAGATAAAGATGACTGATTCAGAGTATTATGTGAGATACAATATGGAAAAAGTTAGGAGGGAAAGTGGGTGAAGGCTTGCATGGGAGCTTTTTAAGAATGGATGACTAAATAAATGAATGAAGTTACTATAGACCATGAATACAGGGGATTAGGATCTACTTTCTGTTGCTACAATTCACCTGTTAGAATTTTTCCTGTATGCCAGTTGCCTTTCCCCAAAATCTAATATGGAGACCAATGAACCTTGGTCTAGTCTACCTAGCACCCCATTTATTCCAGATACCCTTGGATAGGGGTTGTCCTTAACTTGTAAAGAAGCTAGATCCTAGAAAAGGTAAACTTCATGTTCTGTAAATGAGTCTCTCCTTCAGTTTCTCTTTCCTCTGCCTAGAGGAAAAAATTTTTTCAAGTCTCACTCAGTACTTACATATGATTGCTTTCATTGTCTTAACACAGAGTTAAAAACACAAAGGAAACACGTGTTTAGAGTCTGCCACCCTGCTAACAAAGAAGAACAGTTGGGCCACCTAATATTCTGAAATTAAAACTGTTAATATAGAGTTAGTGAAAGACTTATGAACTTTCTAATTATGGGTGAAGGCATCATGTAATCAGTAGAAGGGAAAAACATATTAATTTAAAAGTAATGTGTTCAGTCCACTTTACAAGTTGATATCTATCAGAGAAAGCCCTCCATTACCTTGATATATTTTCCATTGCATTTTACATTCTCCCACCTAACTTCTACAAAATTAAAATTGACTTTAAAATAACTTATTTAAAAATTGGCATGAGTTTTTTTTTCTTTAAGTGGAAATCATTGTCATTTTAAATAAAATATAAAAGCATGGTGTAATATTTATTCAGGTTTAAATTATAGACACTTTAGTATTGTTACCATTGTTTATTTCAGTGGTTTATTTTCTTGTTTTTTTCCTATCCACTTACCTTTGAGGCAAGTTCTCCTGGATCTTTCTTTTCTAAAAATCCCGGGACCTTTTTAATTTCAGGAAGTTCAAAGCTCCATATGTACTGTAGTACCAGTAATAGATTTCCATAGGCAACCATGAAAGGAGAGGTGATCATTGCATATTTTCTTCTGTTGCGAATCATCCAGAGGGTACAGGACCAAATCAACAGCACAAATGTCAGCCAGCTGTGATAGGTGATGCTCCACGCCTCCAGAGACAGAGGAAGAGAAAAAATGATGATGGCCAATAAAATAGACAGCTACTTTGCTCAAAATAAAAAAGTCAGTGGCATCCAATCTAGGAGGAGGAAAGAGTTGTAGTGAATTCATGGAGGGACATTCCCATCAGTGATGTAGGGAGGGGAGAGAAGAGAAAGACTGATTCTTTTTTTCTGATGAGAAAAATATGCTACTGAACTTCCTATAGGGAGAGAGTCAACGGCAAAGGGGTCTTCATTTTAAGCCCTCTTCCTTCCAGTCCCTAATTTTACATCTTTACTCTGCTTTGTAACATTAAAAGCAGCTGTGTTTTCCTCCCTTCCTTTTCCAAATCAACTTGGGGTCAGCTGTTATTTAAGACTGATCAGAAAATGTGGGTCCTATTTGGAGCTCAGAACAGCAGCTGTGGGAATTACTTGGTTAGATCAAATTGGGTTTGAGTGATAACTTTTAGTAGGGAATGCATGAGTATCTACATGGCTGAAATCAGAAAATTCACTTGGGGAAGCTCTGTGCTAGGACGCTGTATAACCCAGAAAGCCAAGTTTATTTAAAGGCCAGTTTTAGCTTCATCCACTAAAAGGTAAGAAAAAAAGTCACCAGACCCTTTGAATAAATGAGAAAACTTCTTCCATTCACATTAAACTTCCAAAGAATCATAAAAGTATCTCAATGGGCAACATAAAAAACAAACAAACACCTGTACATTATAATTACAAATACTATCTCTTTCCATAACTTATAATCAATTCTTGTGAAAAGACCTATAGATACATTTTCTAGACAAGTGTGGGTAACTGAATTCCCAATTGTAGTCTGAATATTGCAAGTCTCTAAGAGTTAGTTGTAAGGTCTAAAATTTTTTAGAAGTCTTTTACTTTTGGAAAGTAGACAAGTATTAAGACTAATGTAGTCAAACATGGAAAAAACATTTTCTGTTCAGTAATTCACAAAACTGCTCTAAGGCACAGGTAGCTTTTTAAATGATTATTTAAAATGATTATACATTTTTTGGTTAAATCTCATGATAATTGTAAATTGTAAATTAAAGTTGTACTTATTAGTTTAAGTTAGTGACTGATGACTATTTGTCTTTATCAAGAAGACAAAACTGAATGTATTTTCATTAAATAATGCAATCAATGCATTCATCCCAATGTGAAATACAAAGATGACTTTATTGTTTTTTCTATGTGATCTAAGAAAATCTTCACCGATGTTACAATTCCAGCAGATTTTCCCACCATACACTATTGTTTGTGAGGGGATAGGTAGAAGACAAAAAAGTAATGCAGATTTTTTTTATTTTCAAAATACTAGCAAGGATGTAAAATAATTATACTTCAACAATAAATATTTTAAGAATATTACCATAAAAGAATATATGATAAAATTTATGATTATTCCTGAGATATAGCATTATCTCAGGAATACCTAAAAAAAAAAAAGGATTAAAACAACAACAAACTTCTTTCATTAAAGCCTAAGCCACATCTGCTTCAAGTGTGGTAGTGGGAATAGAATTGGTTAATGTCATTTCCTAGATTCAATTCCAGAATTCATAGCTTATTTTAATTTGTATTTTTGAGCAAGTATTTATACCATGCCAGTAGATGTGGCTCCTCAGGATTTCTGTTTCTGTCTGTGATTAAAAATTTGCTGCAATGGGGAGCTTCCATGAAGGGTGGCATTTTTTTTTTTTTAAAGATTTATTTATTTGTACATACAGAACTGGGGTACAGGCCAGAGGCTCAGGGGCGGTGAGAGGCTTCACCAGAGACAGAGCGGGGAGCAGAACAGGCAGATCGACGAAGTACACTGCTGAGGGGAGCAGCGGGCGGGTCAGGAGAGGTCTGCCTCGCCATGTGGTCTCCTCCGGGGCAGGCGGGATTTGAACTCATGCAGAAGTGGCTTTAGCTTCTCAGTGCAGTGCTTTAACCCGCTGCGCCACCAGGGAGGGCCCTGAAGGGTGGCATTTTTAAAACATTAATTTTGTGGCTCTGTTTGAACAATGGAGAGGGCACTAGATGAGGACGCCTCTTTAGTGAAGGATCTGCTGTTTTTGTTTCTGCAATAGATTTTTTTCCTATTAAGTAATAAAATGTGTATTTGTGATCTTTTATAAAAGCACTATTTCCTTACAAAGAGCAAACTTAGCTGGCTGATTTTTAGGGTGAAAGAAAAAAATGTATACTTTTGAGTTCAGAATCATAATCATAAACTACTAGCAATTAATTTGACATTTAAAAATCAGTTGTGTTGCAGATTACATATATAAACTAAATAAGCCCTATATATATTTTTATTTATATATAAAATAAATAAGCCCTAGTCATGAAATGTAAAACATGGTAATCATTGTTACCGATCCTCTATTGTGTTTTTGAAGGTAATATTTGTAAACTTGAAAGATCTTAAATTTTCTCCTTGCATGCCCATTAGACTTATTCTGGTGATCACTTTGTGCTATATACAGATATCAACTTGTTCTGTTGTACACCTGAAGCCAACAGAGTATTAAGGTCAATTATATCTCAACTAGCACAGAACTAATTTTTTTGAACTAATTTTATTTAAAGAAAAAATCTGCAATCACAAAAGGAGTCATGTTTATTTTTGAGGATCTTTCTTTATCCCACATATATGTTAGTGGTCCTTCTTAAAAACTTAAGTCGTACTAATTCGCTTAGGAGACATCTTGATCAAGGGCCTGGGGAAATCATACTTAGGTAATTTTTCATAGAGTTATAGGATATGTTCAATTTTATTTTATCATAAATGGTGTTTATGAGATTTTAGTATTGACATAAAAATTTGGAAGAGTTTTGCATTAAATAAGAGTGTTAGGTTTCCAAAGCATTTCAAAAAAATTGTTTTAAGGAAGGGTAAAATTAGATCGCTTTATCTAATATCTACAGGCTATCTTTCAAGTTGTAAAGCTGAAGCAGGAGGGTGTGTAGAAACACATGTAAATGGAGAGATCACAATCAGAACAAGCTTACGGATGTTTTGGTTGCTTGAAGGGCATATTGAACATATGCAGCTCATTTGGAATTCTCATTCATATATAAGCTGAGGTGTGAATATTATTCATTAAATGGGAGAAAATTGGTAGCCTGTGTTAATCTTGAACACTGTTAATACCACTTAGACAAATGGTCCAATATGTCTTTTTAAACTGGCAAAACTGGAAGTCTGATTTGAGAGTCTAATTTGAGAATATTGTGCTATTAAAGGATAGTGAGAGAACGTGATTTTTGAAATCGATAATATAAAATCCCATAAAAAATTAACATAACCAACCATTCTCTGCTATGACACTGGGAATATGAAGATACTGTATTGGCCCTGGAGGGTGCTGGAGCTCTGGGCTGGGGGAGCCGGAGCCAACTTTCGCTGTCCATTGCTCCAGCCCTCAGCACCCCTCATACATACCATCATAGCAATCAGGGCACAGATGTAACTTTGTTTCATAATAAACTGGAACACAGAGACCATGGCGCTAACTTTAACACTTTTTTTTTCATCAAGGCTCCTGTCCTCTTCAAATTCATCTTTCTCATCCTCTTCTTCCTCTTTCTTTTCTGGGTGGACAAATTACATAATTAATCATTTATTCATATAAATGAGCTACGGGCAAATGTTCCAAGCAGTGCACACATTTAAGACTTCAGAGGTTATTTCCAATTAACCAAAGCTCTTAGAATTCAACAAAATCAATACATTCTGCCTGGTAAATGCAATGGACCCAGCCACTCAGGAATTGCAGGAAGAAAATTTCGATCGGAGAAGCTATGGAAAGCAGCTACTCCAGTGACCTGGGAGGGTCTGCCTTTGCTACGAGTGATCTCCCATAGCCCCCTTTCTCTGCATGGGCGGGATCTCTGATGCGCATCCAACAAACAAATACTTGGGAAGGGTGGGGTATCACTGCTAAGATGGAGAAGATCTTGACTTCACCTTGGGCATTTTCTTTCTGTCACTCATTTGTTCTGAGAGAAGCCACTGCCTTGTTGTAAAGCACCTGAGGGGGTGGCACGGGTGACTAGGAACTGACATCTCTGGGCAGCATTTTGCAAGATCTTGAAGTCTGTCACCTGCTAATTGAGTGGACACAGAAGAGGACCGTCCCCTGTGGGGGACCTGGAAGAAGACCGTCCCCTGTGGGGAAGCCCACAGATGAGACTGCAGCTCCAGTCAATGGCTTGATTACAACTTCAGTTGAGACCATTGTCACCATATTCATGACAGTGCAATGCTAATGTTATCTTAAGCTGCAAAGTTGGAGGACAATGTTACCAGGAATAGATAAACTAATACAAGAACTATAGAGAGCATGGATTTAACAAAGGTGCAGAAACTAGAAAACCAACCAACCAACAACCACTTTCTCAGAGTAAGCACAGTATCTACAGTTTCCTTTTTGTTCAGGTTAAGGCAGAAAAGTCATACTGGGCATGGAAAGATCGGGTAAAAAGAAGAGAGAGGACATTGGAATGCTGAGGAGAACAGGAGCAAGCAACAGGAAACTACTAGCCTGGTGTGGGGGATTTCTCCTCAAGATACCTCCACAGTTGTCAGAGATGCTATTTTGATTTTGAAGTTGAAGTAATAAGAGCAGTAAGTCAACATATCCATTCTGTCTTTCTTTTTAAATCAAACGGGCTATGTACAAGGAAGTGAGCTTCATCAGGGGGTTATTCATGAAGTATAAACTCCTGAAAATCCAGTGAGCCTGAGGGATATAGTCAGCTTCTGAGGGAGACTGTGTGTCTCCTCCCATGGGAGCCCTCGGCCTCCCATCTCCTCAGCTTTGGGCTGGATAAACCTAGGGCTTATATGGGGATGTCCCTGGGTCAGGAGATGATGCTGATAAAATCTGATGGGCTTTACAGCTACTTCATGCTATTTCTCTGGTTGTGATTGTTTTGTGTATACAGGTTCAATTAAAAATAACAACCCAGCATCTGTTTTACTTCTGAAAGTTCAATTTATGACTTGGGTGACTTCGCTTTGTCAGCAGTCAAAATTCTATTTATTTCTTCTCATATAAATATGTAAGCAGAAGGAAGCCTGACTGTGATCTGGACATCTCTCAAGCTTTAGAAGTCGCAGGTGCTGGTTCTTGGGCTTCCCTCTGTGTTTTGATGCAAGGAAAGGCTGCAATTTAGAAAGTGCTGTGTTTCCGTAAGAGATGAGGAAATGAAAAGCTTTAGTTCTGTCTGAGTTGCAAACTGCAACATATCCAAGTAGGAAGAGAAAAAGCTAACTACCTATGGGTCTGATGCTCTGTGGTCAGAGGGCCTGGGCTGTGTGAAGAAGAGAGGCCACTGAACTTGATCAAACTTGCAAGGAAATATTGGATGATGTTACCAACCATTTGTACTGCTAAGTAGATATGCACTGGGGCAACTGTGAGAACAACACATCAGAATTAGCCTGACAAAGATGATGAGACAAGGTTATTAGAGCAAACTCCATGTACTAATTCAGCTGGACAGCTGCTGGTCATTTTATTGAAGATAGGATGTTGCCAATCGATTAGTTCTATAGGCACTTTGCAGATTCCTGCATATACTTGATTCCACCCTGTGGCCCCCTCCTCCCCCACCCCCTACTAGTAAGCTGAGCTAATTCTGTCTTTGTGAATTGGTGACCAGTGTGTGCACTGCATCAGGGAGCTGGCCAAAAACACTGAAGTCAAGAGCTGCCTGGCAGTCATGAAGGACTGGTGCTACTAGATAATCACATTCCTCAAGGGATGCCAGAAATTTCCATTGCTAGGCCAGAGCTGCAGCTTTCAAAATCTTAGTTATGAATTTTTCTTTTTTTAGTAAGTTGTGTAAACCAAAAACAAGTCTGAGGATAAGATCTCTGCCCCAGGCCATCAATTAGTCACTTCTAGTAACAGAACACTTACTTTCCACACAATCAACTGAGACAAGGCCTACTGCAAGTTTCTTGTTTTTAATAGAATACTTTCTGAAAACATTTGCCCATTTAAGCAGTTATGATTTCATGATAAAAAAGGTCATAACATGTTAAGAATAATGTTTCCTTTCTGTTTGTCAAAGTTTATACCGATGATGCCACTTGTTTTGTACATGGACAAAACACAGATAGCAATATGACAGGGTAAACTCTAGCCAGGATTTGAGGAAATTACCTGAACCTACTGGCTATGGAAGACAACACCTATGTCAGAAAAAATAAAGCCAAAAAAAGAAAGAACTAAATCCAATAAACAGAAGATGGAGAGATGCCAGTTTATGCATGAGGAAAACGGGACTGGGCATGATGTACACACAGAGCCTGCTCCTTACCTTCGGCATCATCAGAGGGCTCCCACCGGTACTGCGGAGTGGAGTACAAGTCCGCTTTGGCAGGCCCATTTTCCAGGGGGAGAGTGGGGTGAATGGTGTGGTAATCCACAGGGTTGCCATTCACAGTCACCAGCAGGCCCTGACAGGGCAGGGGAAAGGCACACCTGTGAGCAGCTTTACCTCCCAGTGCAGACACACCGCCTTCCCTGACTCTAGGTAAGGCTTACTCAGCAACAAAGAACTGACGGAGAGCTGACCAATTTAGTCAGCTGCACACTTAACCAGATGAGCGCTGCACCACTTCCGTCTATATCTGTGCTCCAGAGTGATCGATGTAAAGTGCAAATCTGATCCTGCTGTCCCTCCGCTACACATCAGGTCACACACATTCTGTCCTCCATACACAAAGTAGAAATGCTAGAAAAGCTGAGGCTTCTTCGCTGGTCTGCTCTTATCTCCAGTTTCAGTTTTTATGCTGGTTCTCCTGCCACAGTGCCACCAGCTTGTCCATGTAACTAGGCAGAACTGCAGACCCTTCTGGAGCCTGGCCAGGAGCCCAGGAGTCCCCCCAACTGCTCACAATCTTGGGGCTCTCCCTGCCTGATGTAACAAGTCTCTACCGGGATGGCAGCTTCCCAACTTTTAATCCCTCTTTTGCACACCATCTACTAAGTATAATTTCTTTTTCTGTGTCTATGGCTTTACAGTCTTTGAGACATACACGTAAACATACATAAGCACATACACATGTGTGTGTCCATGCACATGCAAGGTTTGTGTAATTTATGTAATACTCAATTATGTATTAAGTGTATCTGCAGAGCAAAATGCAAAGTGACTTTTGAAAGTTTCAATATATTTTCTATGATTATCCTTGAGCTCATATTATATGTTAGCATTTCAATAGCATTAAACCATATTTTGCAAGCAAAATGATGGCAATTTAATATATAGTTAGACTATAACTAAAGGAGTTCATTCCACTGTTGTCACTTTTCCATAACGTGAACACACATAAATAACTCTAAGGATATACTAACATCAGATGGCTTGTAGTCATCTTGGGTCATGGATAAAAGCTGCAAAAAGCAATACAGGACAGCATGTTAATATGTAAGCTGAAAGCACTGCACCATTTATATATCGATAAAGTTTACTTCACACATACCCATTAAATGAGCTTGAAGGTAATATGTTAAACTTGTCATAGCATTGAATTGGATGTTGCTGTTTATTATATCATTTTCAAGTTAAATTAACCTTTAATTATAATAGCAAATAAGCAGTCACAAACCACATGACTATAAAAGTTGATTGTGTTTTTCAAGTGTTTTGTTTTCATAGAATAAGCTGTTTACTCCCAGGCTCGTTGGGACACTGCAGTGTTATGAAAGTACTTACTTTTCAAGAAGTATAAGTTTTGCAATAAAGACAAATTGATTTGTTGTGAAGTTTAAGACTTTTTAAAGGTTTGCATATCATCGACAAAAACCAAATTATTATATGATGATAAATTTTAACTATACTGGATCCAAGTGTTCAGGGCTCTCCCCCAAATAATAAGCACTGAATGTGCCAATGGTTCTCCCAATTTGGGGGGTCAGAACCTATTTATATTCTGGAAAATCAATGAGGGTCCCAAAGACATTTTATTTACATTGGTTCTATCAATATCTACCGTACTAGAAATTTAAAGAGGCATTTAAAAAAAAAATCTGTATTTATTGATTCATTAAAAATTTAAACTCGGGCCCTCCCTGGTGGCGCAGCGGGTTAAAGCACAGCCCTGAAAATTTAAAGCCACTTCCGCAAGAGTTCGATTCCCACCTGCCCCGGAGGTGACCACATGGTGTGGCAGACCTCTCCTGACGCACCGGCTGCTCCCCTCAGCACTGTACCTCATCGATCTGCCTGTTCTG